AGACAAATCAGTGCGTGATTGGAAGACATCATAAAATAAGAGTAAAATACTGATAATTTGTACTGGATTCTTTGGTACAAATAATCTTACTGTAAGCGAAGAAAACCATTGAAAGTCTGAAAACCACTGGACCATGCCAAACCCCTAACATCATCATCATCATCTTTCGACTGCTCTGGCTCCATAGGCAATGACAAGTTTCTTCCAACAACTACGATCACATTCACAAGCAAGGTTGACAAGTTATCTTTTGGTTGGAGCATACATGTAACTACATAACCCAACATTTTTACAATTATCCCAGTAATTAAATACAGTAGTAGGGCCTAGATGTACGTATGTTTGATTGGGTAACAACCAGTATACATGTACATGTAGTAGTAGTAGTACACAGATCAACTTCACACCGGACAGCACTTCAACCATGTCAACACTGCTTGCGGATAGTGAAATAGGCACATGGGCGCACAGTTTCTTGCAGAATATTGTGTACACTGTAGGACATTTAATATTTTTCCCAGTCAATCAAAATATGAAAATGATTGATTACACTAACATTTGGTGGCTTGACCACGACCTCTTGACCTTAGCTGTAGGGGGTAAAGCTGGGCCAAAGGGGTTGGGCTATAAACACCAACAAAAAAACCCACCAAAACCCTGTAGTGCACAACAGGAGTTGTGGGCAATTTCCCTCAGTAAACTCCATCATCAGTGGCCAGAGAGGTCAGTTGGGTTAGGCAAGATTGCTACACTTAATTTGGATCCCAATAAATCCCATTCCTACAAATTTTATGTGGACCACTTATGTTGCAGTGACCTTCCTAAAGTATGAGAATATCTGGGACCTGTGAACGGAAATATATTACATTTGTAAAACTCCCACAATTAAATTGTCAAATGACTATGAAATAGCTTGCTTGCTCAGCAAATTACGTGTACAGTACTATTACTAGTATGAAGCATCACGTGAAATTGTTACACCTGGTATGCTGCCATTTTTAAGAAAGGACTATCACCTTCCAATGACTGCCTGTCCAATTTATCATCGGGAAAAAGCTTTTTTCAAATACTACCTCAACTTCTAACAGGATTGCGAAGCCAGCTATTGACTCTGCGTGCAATATACGCTCAGTCATGCTACGTACATGTACATGTACATGCACCAGTAGGTTCATGTATGTATGCATGGAGCTTCCTTGCTCTGGACCATAAGTAATATTTTCACACGACACAAGTGGCACTCAAGCATGCCCTGTGACCTGTGCACCATAGATTCGGCCAGCTGCACACTGACGGATGAAAACAAACATAATTTGTTTCCCGTGTTTTTCCAGTACCAATGGACACACAACGTTGAACAGGTCAGTGGAACGGTTGCTGCTATTTATAAATAAGTAGCTCTTAAATTGGTCCATTTCGTCAAATCACGACAAATGCAAATTATGTTACCCACTACAGTACCTTTAAGTACATGTATTATGCACATGTATGCGTACGATCTGATTTTTCAATTATGCACGAATCAAGCCCCTAACCTTATGTCATGATTAGGGATGCATCTTGCCCCAAGACAGAGTTCTCCCCAGCTCCATTTGCATTCCTGGAATCTGAAAGTCTAGCTGTTGGATGCCCCCCTTAGGGGGGAACAGAAACCCGATATTTCCTACCAGCAATAAGCTGTCAGCTTTAGGGGGGCTACTGGCACAGGGATCTATCTGACATGCTAGTGCAAGGTCAAGATCAAAGGCTTAAGCCTCAAGTGTGAACATGAGGAAGAATGCTCATCGTGAGTTGACTCACAATTCCCTGCCAGCACAAGTTAATATTGCTTCCTTGCACGGTCTCTCAACCTGTGAAAGTGTGATGAGAGTTAATTCATTTCATTAACCCTAATCCTCCCACATCTGCCAAAATCCACCACGATCATTATTTCAGACGGGGATTAAAAAGTGCAGTACACCATTGGTTCCCTGCGCAGTGGATGTTCTTGGAAGTTCCATGTAGTTCCTGGCAAGAATGCTACCAGAGGATCTAAATAGGAGTTAATGTACAGGGTGACACCCCAAAAAAATTCCAAACCTGAAACATTTGCCTTGTTGTCAAAAAAAGATCTGTGGTTTTTTATGTTTTGGATATCAGATTAAAGCTGCAAGTTTTTTTCTTTCAAATACTGAAAATAATCATGAAAACAGCACATTGGGTTGTTGAGAAAATGCCAATTATAATGCTGATGCTGGAACCAGATTATGAGATCGGGTACCTGTAGCCAACCTACCAAATTACTTTTGGTTTTGAATGCCATTTGTGTGGAATTTTCAAAATCAAAACCGGGCTACAAACGTGTAGAAAACCAAAACAAATTTCACATAATGTGCATTAATGCGTGACAGATGACACTCGCGAAAGTTTGCAGTTTTCACTGTAAAGCTACGTGTATAAAGCCCAATAAGACAACTTCCAGGATTTGAATTTTGGTGTTTTTTAACAGTTACCTGGGTACCCGTGTTTAAATTCAATAGGGTACCCTTTTCCTGTACCACCTACATACATGTATAAATGCACAACTGTCATCACTATGATCTAACAGAATCTAATTAATGACAAAATATTCATAACCAGTTAGTACTCCTAAACAATTCATTTCTACAGCCGCCACTCAATGGCACTACATGTATGTGTTGGCATAATATGCCCAATATGCTGCTCATTTACAAATCACACTGCACGCCAAAATGTCAAACACCATTACAGCCCCGGGGGCTAAACGGCTCGTCCGAACTGCCAAAGGTATGCCCAAGCACGTCCCATGTATTCTCTCCCTCTCTCTCTACCCTCAACACAATAGTCCACGGAATTATGGATCCATGAAGCACCATCAATTGGGCTCTATACTCGCTCACAGCACAGAGGGTACCTGCTCACTTCGGTTATAATTCTAAGCCTCATCTCCCCTAACCATGTCACAGATACTGGATACCGGAAGACTTGGTGTCAGAAAGTCAATACTGACATAGCCGTTTATACCCTGAGAATGTATTGGATGACATACTCTAACAAAGCTCCACCATGCATCATTATGGACTGCAAGAAACGCTCACACTGTTCAGGTTTTGATACTGTGCAGTTTAATGTTACACTTTCAGTAGCTGAAGAGCTCCATAAGAACTGTGGCTTTATTGCGGGGACAGTAGAGCTTTGTTCGGCCTGAGGGGCTACAATTAGACAGGATTGTTCAATAGTAGGAGTAACTGTGGACCTTTTGTCATTTGTGTTGTGGATAAAATAATGAACAATTGTTTTGTCAGAAAAATCACTTTATCTGAGTCAGAGGAAACAGAACATCATAACCTATACAGATATTAAGAACATATTTTGAGCATACTTAACAACTTTTGTTTGGGGTCTTATTACTGTAATCATGGAGGTGTTTCTTACCTCCATGCTAATGAAGGACATATTAAATGTTGGTTTTGACCTATAATATTTCTGCAACATTGGGGTTGTACATTGTACATTTATGCGTTACATTGTAGTCTATCCTGAGATTTTCAAAAAGATTTCATGCTCCATAAATAGATGCAAGGTAGTAGTAACTAAGCCTACAGGCTCACCACACACACACAGAATATAAAAACCTAGGAATAGTGAAGAATAGGCCTAAATGTACACGCATCATAACCAGGTTTAAAACTGAAAGCCTCAAATCAGAATATCTGAAATGCAGTGTACATGTGGGCATCCTGTAGGCTACAAAAGACAACACTTTGGACCACAATATGAAGGTTCAATTACATGAAGTATTCATGTAAAGCAAGGTGTTTACATTTTGCAAAATAAAAACGAAAAACATTAACTATAAAAAAAGTGAAATGATTACATAATACAATGAAAGAACTTATCATTCAGACATGTCAGATGCCACTTCCTTGATGTACAACGGCAATGTCTTAAAAACTTAAAGCATTTTCTACATTAAAGCATTTTTAAAACATTTTTCAAGCATTTTTCAGTCCAATTTGTTTTGTAAACATCAGCACTCAGTGCCATGTACATGATGTATAAACATTTGTAATAACTAGGCCAACTATCGTTGAGGTTGCATCACGATATAAACATTTAAACATGATTAAATAATTCACAAAATGATATTTCAATTTTCATAGGAATTCATAGTCACTTCTTCATGTTCTTCAAGTTCAAGAACACAAGTTTACAACATAGACTCATTCTACAGCCAGTGTTTAATTCAACTGGCAATATGCATTACTTTTTTATAACTAAGTACAGAATAAAATATCATTGAAACTGTATTAAAATCACAACAACATAAACAGTGATGCTCGTGTCGTATTAAATTGTACTTCGTATTCAATCGTGTCGTAGAGAATTTATATTATTAGCACACACACAGCACGTGTGCGGTGAATGCGGTTGTCAATGGTTGTGTGACAACTAAACTACCCGGCGAAGTTGAGTGTGGGAACGGATCGATTCTCATTTTACAACTTACCAACAGTTCAGTTTCTTGACGTTTTCCAAGTCCGACGAATGAGCTTTGGCCATTACTTGGCCCTCCGTAAGCTTTCCCATTGCGACTGCAGCACTTTCAGTGACAGGCTCCGGCTCTGACTCCTGAATCATTCGAAATCCGCTCTCTGAAGCTCGTCAGTTGCAGACGATAAGACCAAACGATTCAATCTGTCAGTAAACCACGTACGTACGCGATAAAGCTAAGCAACCGACTTCAGCTGACGAGACGAGACTACCGTACGTTACGTATGCATTCGTTCCGTGCATACTGCGCGCCAAGCAGTTTGTATGGTCAAAGCCCTGCCTTCCTCCCACATTTACTATCGTACATTGTGATTGGCTACCTGACTATCACCAACATTGGGGCGATTAAGCACTTGGCCCGAAGGACGATATTAGACAATTTGTCATTGGCCAGATTACGATATGCTTCCATCGTTGACCAATCACATTCACTGTATTATTTTTATCAATTTGCAATTCTTCTGGCGGCCATTTTAAAGATCATCATTTTAATTTCGCACGGCGCAAAATACATGAAAGAGTACAGATATAACACGATTGTTCTGACGTATCTCTGTATTATCAGGGTGCAAGGAGGCAGTTTTGACCGTCTGACCGTAGCATTTTACTTTCGCGTTTCCAGATAAAAGACGCTTGAGCCTGAAGCGCTTGTAGAGAGCTTGTTTTGGATGTCGCAAGTCGGCAAGTTCACGTCGTCCGGTGGGTACGTGCGACGACTGAGTCTGCCCGTAGTGGTACGGTGCTGACTAATTTTCTGGTCAACATGCATGACGTGGAGGTTGTGTAGTAGTTCCGGGCCCCTGTTTAGTTTGGTCAAATTAGAGAGTCAAGATTGATTTTTATCATTCCAAAATGTCTTTTCAACCTGAATTAGCAGTTCTGAAATTATTGCAATTTTAAATTATTTTTTTGGCCTAAAAATGACGCTCAATTTGGCTGAAATAAATGTGAACACGTCAGTTGATTTATGTGTACAAACGTATGGGAAATTTACACACAAATAACGGCATCGCTGTTTTGGGGAATCCACAACTTTTTTCGGCAATGTGATTTTATAACAAACCAACTTTCTAAGCCTAAGGTCAACTACACCCTGCAATTCTCTTTTATTGATGTTTGGAGCTAAGGGAAAGTATCCCTGTATGTGATATTACATGTCAAACCTTTTCAAAAAAGGCGGTCACAAAAAATTTAATTTACGTGTACAAACGTATGGGAAATTTACACACAAATAACGACATTGCTGTTTTGGGGAATCCACAACTTTTTGGGAGCAATGTGATTTTATATCAAACCAAACTTTCTAAGGTCAACTACACCCTGTAATTCTCTTTTATTGATGTTTGGAGCTCGGAGAAAGTACCCCTGTATGTTCCATGTCAAACCATTTCAAAAAAGCGGTCACAAAAAGTTTGGTCATTTTGGGCATAAAAATAGCGCCACCAATGTCCGTGGCGGTGGTTCAACCTACCTAAAGTTGACTTCTCTCAATTCTATGATACCGTTTTTTTTTAAATTTTGAACAGTTTCTTGGGGTAGAAATGTACGATTATGGTTTATGGTTGGTGCCGTCATGGCCGTGCGATTGGACATTTTTAGGCTCGCTTGTACACGTTTGAGTGTAACTAAAATTCGAACATGGTGACATAACCGCAGTGCATGCTGGTAATGGGTGTAATGCGTGACCTGCTGGTCAAAATGTTTGCTGTCAGTCGCACGGCGCGGCTCGGCAGCTGTTGCTTTTCTTTAGTAATCCTCGGGGTGTAGTGCGCCCTCACGCATATATTTGCAAACCAACCTTTGAGATATCACACCATAAAGTGTTTCAAAGCTCATTACTAATACACAGGAAATGTCTCTCATTTATTTTTGTCCCTTGCAGACAAAGAGTGACCAGATCGATGAGATCTCATCTTGATGAACAAGATGGGCTTTGATGTCCCTAGAACCAATTTATTGTAACAGGTGTTTGGTGCACTCACATCCCGTATCATGGAGGGGGAGCGACTACTCCAATGTATAAAGAGCAGTACCGATGTTGAGCCCTTGCTCAGAGATTTAGAGGTAAGGTGCAATTTTGTTAGGAGCTTCCTGGATCCTTTGAAATCCAACAGTGTGCAGTAAAACATGAGCACCTTTTTGTGCTTGACAAGAGTGGGATGTTGTGCCTCATGTAAAGTCATGGTGTCAGGGTTTATGGTTCAACATCCTTCATAGTGTTTGATTTTGGAGGGTTTGGAGAATGAGGATTAACCGTAATCCCCTTGGCCCTTTTTGCTAGGTACCATACTCGATCTTCCAAAATCTTTCAAAATTGTGCACTTGTCTGCAAATGAAGGATGCCCACTGCCTCAATCCTTCAAAATCGTCCAACAGCCCTGCCTCTCAAAATGCATTCAGCCTCAGTTCTCTAAAGTCCTCCTCTTCTTCAAATACCATTCAGCCTAAATTCTCCAAAATCAACTGATACTGAATGTACATGTTCAGTCCTCCAAAATTGTATGTTACATTCAGCCTCAGTCCTCCCAAATCCTCCAAAACCGCCTGGAGGACTTAGGAGGATTGAGGAAGGTTAGGGCTAAGTGCAGTCTTGTCGAACAAAAATTGAAAAATTGAACACACAGCATAAAGATGTGCTGGTAGAATATGTGTAGTCTTGTAGATGAATGTTTATAATCAAAAAGTAAAAGTAAGATCTGTCGTGATTCTTGAGCCAATATGGCCCATCATACCGGTGTTTATCTCTGATTTCAGTGGCATGAAACGACTGAGAATATTTCTATTCCCCCTGGATGGGATGCCAGTCCATTGCAGGTTACTCCCCAGCTAATGCCAGTACCTATTTACTCCTGGGTGGAGAGTGGCAAGTGGGGGTAAAGTGGCATGCCCAAAGACACAATGTATGGCCATTTAGAATTGTGAGCCAGCATGCAAAATTGTTGGAATTTGTTGGTCATTCATTGCTTTGACTGTCCTCAGGTTTACTTGGCTCCTATCCTGCGGCACAAGACCAGCCCATCGCAGGAACTGGCGGCAAAGTATGGGTTATACTCGATGAAAGTTCTCCGCGCCTGTGTGCAGCAGTTGACGGTCCTCAAGACCGGCCATGCCACCATCATAGGGATTATCCGCATTGCAAACAGGAGCTACCAGTGCATCCGCAAGGCCCGGAAACACACCAAGATGGTGCCGCTGTCGTTGGAGAAGCTGCTGTTTCACATGGTGGTGCAGAGTATGGCCAAGGGACTGGTCGCAGACGCCACGGCGTTTGCAAGGAATCTGCACGAGCATCTCAGCCTGTGTCGGCATAACTTTGTCACTGGGGACAGCATCGATAACGAGTACGACACGGTGTGCAAGCAGGCCTTCAACCAGCTCTGGAAGGCCTGCGTGGACCTGGAGCACTCCTCCAAGCAGGCGGCCACTAAACACATGGTGGTGCTGGATGTCCGGTCACAGTCGCTCGCCTTCTTGATGCTGACAAGCTACGAAGTCTCCTGGGTGGTCGAGAGAGCTCTCCGGGCCATTGCCGAGTTTGACCGAGCCAGCAACAACTCTCTGGATGAGAATAATCAAGTGCTTGAGTTCCTTCAAAGTATCTTGGACACCTTGCTCAACAACCTAGGAGACACCAAGAAAAATCGGGAACTGCAACCAGAGGAGGCATCAGAGCTTCTGTCTTCCCTGTTTGAACTGAGTCTCCAGTTTGCAAAGCGTTGTAGTCATCTCAAGAGACCCGAAGAAGCCCTGACCCTGCATGAAAAACTCCAAGAGATTATCGTCAGCAAGTGTAGCAGACATTCCCAGAAACTTTACATTGCTGCAGTCAGCATGATTGAAACTACCCTCTGCATGAGAAGACTTTCGTCATCGGATGCCTCCAAAACTGCGAAGAGGTCCAAGTCCCAAAAGCCAGGAGATCTGGTTGGGACTATCAAAGAGAGAATTGAGGGTGTAGTGAGTAGCATCTCCAAGATACTCGAACAGGGGGATCCTGATTTTAAGGCTGTCCATTGCCTCGTGGAGGCTCTAGAGTTCTTCAAAAAGAGGTTTGAGGGCGCTTCTAGCCAGCAAGGTAGGTCGGGAAGCCCCTCTCCAACCGCGGTATCTGAGGAGCTGGTTCCATCAGTGGATGCCGCCTTGAAGCTCCTGGTGGACCTGCTCCAGGTGCAGAGAGAGCACCTGCAGACCACCTGCAGCACGGCCAAGGAGTCGTCTGCTGGCAAGGGCAAACAGCAGAGGATGTCGCTCCAGAAGGCAGTCAACAGACAGCTGGCAGTGCTCAACCTCATGTCCGTCCTCCTGCTGAATCGAATGGACCACACCGAAGCAGCGGCCAGGAGGATGACAGAGGATGCACTGAGTGTTTGCCAGAGAACCAAGGCTGTCATTGAGGAGGTGTCCAGTGGAGCAGGGGGAGCCTTATCAAACAATGAGCACAGGTGGTTAGGTGGGTTTGTTGTTGTTGTTGTAGTTGATCTTAGGCATTCATCATGTTTCAGACCCCTCTGTGTTTTTAGTTTGCTCTAGTTACTTCTTACATGGTGTAAGAAGTTACTTCTTACTTTTTTTTTATTTAGAAAAATGTGACACGCTTCCCCATTTTAGCAGTAGGACACGTGCGAGTCATTTCGTTCTTTTATATGGAACAGGGTCCCAACTTAATGATTGCCAACTTCTAAAGCAAACTATGAAGTTTACAACCTAAAATCTTTGTTAGTATACACAATTTTATGGACTACTGAATGATTCAAGCTGACAAAACAAGTTATAGAAATTTGAATGTTAACGAAAAATTCCCACAAGTTGCCTACAGAGGATTATGGCTGTCCTTGAATATACACAATCGGGAAACGTTAACCAGCACAGGATTGGATGGCTTAGTTTTTATAGTGATGTTATCGTGTTCCGGAGGTCTCACAAAGTACATGTAGGCCCCCAAACTGTCATTTTTTGGTCTATTTTTTTCTGCAGGGACCAATGCATATAACCTGGGCCTAATGTGCTACAGGAAGAAATGGTACTTAGACGCTGTCCCACTGTTGAGCGTGGCCTGTGAGCAACTGCAGGTATGGTGTGTTACAAAGGAACTTATGGATGAGGAAAAAGTCAACAAGGTATGAAAGGAATATTCCTTAAATGGAAATAGTAAATATCCACATTTCTTTCAATGAACTGAATATTTTTCAAAATATTTTAAGTGTGGACTTTCTAACAATTTGGGGCCACTTTTGCAAACAAGAAATTGGAGGTGTTATGGCTCCTTGAATCACACTCTTTAACCCTTACTGCCCTGAATCCTTCAAAATCCTCTTTGCCAAAGTGGAGGAATTTGGAGGATTGAGGTTACATGGCAAAAGTGCGTTACTGATTTCGTAGGATGCACTTTATCAAGGTCTTGGGCCGGATCTTGTGTTGTTTTTGCTCAGCCATGCATAAATATAGGCCTGAATTATGCTTGAAATCCACCGTACTGCTCAGGATGTCACTGGCCAAGCCTCAACATATTGACAGTCACTGCTGCAGGATTTTGCAGAATTCAGGCAGTTGTCACCCCTCCATGGACCATATATTCAAGAAACAATGGAGGAATTTGCAGGATTGAGGCTATTATGCTATTTCTCCATGAGGCCAATTGGAGGATTTTGCAGGATTGAGGCTATATCCTCGCAAAAAGGCTTAGAGAGTTAGGGTCTTAAATGGAAATAGTAAATATCCACATTTCTTTCAATGAACTGAATATTTTTCAAAATATTCCAAGTTTGTACTTTCTAACAGTTTGGGGCCACTTTTGTAAACAAGATATTGGCAGTTTTATGGCTCCTTGAATTACGCTCTTTAAATTTGTATGTGGTCAGTGGTTTTATTGAAGATGTTTCTAAAGTGTGTTGTGCAGTATTGCATCATAGAAAATGATAACAGTGTTGGACGCATGTGCCGTGGTACTTAGGTTCAAACCTTGACAGGGAAAATGGCGCTTGTGTTCTTGGGCAAGACAGTTTACCACAATTGCCTCTCTGTACCCAGGAGTATGAATGGGTAACTGTGAGGATAGAGACCAGATGGCGCTGATCTCGAGCTGCTGCAGAAAAATGGTCTCATGGCCTGATGAACAGGGGTAATTATTGTGAAGCGCTTTGAGACCTTTGGTCTTAACCTAGCACCAGGAAGCTCGACTGCAGAGTCGAAAAGTGATCTCTGTGTTTTGTGAAACCCTTCTTTTTATTTCCTATTTTCTTCTTAGGTCCAGCTGCCAAGCAAGTACGAACTCCTGGTTGACTGCCAACGAAAGGCTGGCCGGCACCGCGAGGCCATGCAGACAGCCGTGACCTACCTCTGGGCCCACGCCAGTCACCTGACAGATCAGCTGACCACTCCCGTAGAGTACTGGGTCAAAGCCAAGAGAGATATTGTGAAAAGTGCAGAGGACGAACAGCTCAGAACAAGGTGATGTGAATTTTGTAAAATATGGAGTTTTTTTACATAGGGATCGATTTAACAAAGCAGTATGATTATTATGTTTTTAACTTATGATGAATATGACATTGTAACTTGTGATGGCTGAATGATTTACGGAAACTTTCAATGGGTTGAATGCATCTCAACTTTCGTGGCAGCAAATTGAAAAATTACTATGAGTCTTTGGGTCATTGTAAGGGAACGTCTCCAAAGTGGGAACGCTTGGAACGTTCCCAAGAGCCAGTAGCTACAGAGTCGGGTTGAAACATTTCATGAAGGGGTGGTTTGGAAGAGAGAAATACATTTTCCACCAATTTTGTATTGAATAGAAGTTCATTTTACATGTAACTGTAAATCACGAGACAAGGATCTGTCTTATATATAAAACAAATATTGAGTGGCTTTAAATTGTGAAATGGGAGGAATATGATCGCTCGGTAAAATCTGGACTTTTCATTTTCACTCGACTTCGTCTTGTGAAATGGAAAAGTCCAGCTTTTACCTTGCGATAATATTCCTCCCATTCCACTCTGAGCCACTCAATATTTGTATACTGAAAACACCTTTTCAACTGGTTTCATTACAATGAGAGTTGTGAAATCCTTTGAAGAAGCCTCCACTCGGAGAATACCACCTGTTTCCATAAGGATAAGCACAGGAATAACAGGTGTTTTCCATCTGAGGACACCGCACTACACGTCTTGCCCTCCTTACGTGACCATTGTTCTCCTTCCTCTTTGCTTCATGCAGGACCCTGTTTGATGCCATTCAGGAAATGGAGGGAACCATCTCGGACGAGAGCTGTAGTCTTGTCTCCAGGCTGCTTGAACAGGAACTCAGCATCTACAAAGCACAAAGGTACCAATAATAAGTCTATTTGCTGACATAATACGAGTGTAACTGTGGCAACTTGATGGACCCTTCAGGCATGAGAATCTTCTTGTTTTAACAGGAATTCCTGGGGGTTTTGGCCCAAATTTCCGCGTTTTTATTTATTTTGAGCCTGTTTTGGGGGCATTTTTGCCTGAATTCACATCTTTTTCCCTTTTTTGCACAATTCATTCTCATGCCTGACCCTTACATAAAATGAGAATGGGATTCTTTGTTGACGTAGAAATCAGTCCTACAATTATGATTTTTCTGCTGAAAAAAAATCCCGAAAAACGCAGATATTGAAAACTTTGCTGATTCTGGTAATCTGTATAATGTTGTGGATAAAGTGGAGCATGTTTCACGAGGTTGTCCGGTAAACATATACACAGGCAAATTGAATTTCCATGTGCCAATTGACTGGAACATTCTGTGACACATTTAAGACGAGCCTATTTGAGGTATGGCCGACACAATAAGAGGTGCGCTGTTTTAATTGGGTAAAGTCTTCTAAAATATTTACCGGAACCAAATAGCAGCCTTCTATTATGGCGGCCTTACCCATAGGCTAATTGGCACTTTTGGCATAAAAATAATTCACCAACATTAGTGCATCACGACAAAAGTACATTCACTAAAGTGCATTCACTCGTGCGTAACCTCCAAAGTGGGCAATGTTACTGCCCGCAGTTAGTACAAAGTACAACCCGTTCGATTGAATTCGTAAGTCTTTGCACAAATTGCAAACCTTACAAAAGACGAGGATTTCAAGACAGCTCATCAAAGCAGCCCTGGCTGATTCATCAAGTTGTGAATGAATCAGTAGTATTCCACCGGTGACGATGATTATTTCATCTATGGAATCGCCGGCACCTCTGTCATTCATATTTAATTGTAATCCCTCCTTCCGTCCCCCACCCCCATTCATCTGTGATTGATCACACACCACCCGTCAGCATGTATAATTCATCTAAGTCCTATTCAGAAGCGAACTCTCTTTTCCCATGACGATGGATCACCTTTTTACAAATTAGAAGACATCACTTTTCTCAATTTGTTAGTAATCCCCTTTATTGCGCATATCTGCCTCCAACATTGTACTATTTTTTAATAGCCTGTGAGACACTTCATCATGTGAAAAGCATCGGAAAAGAAATTTGAACAATGGGGGCGATCCGCAAAAATTGAAATACCTCAGGTTTTTTGTTCCGGAGGACGCATGACCATTGTGACAGTTTGAGTTTTATTGGTCGTAATCAACATTAGCACATTGTGCCAAGCTGAATACGGTGATTGGGATGAAAAGGTTGTGCATTTCAACGAGTTCACAGAATGTGCCATTGAATTTATTTCATTAGTTTGACAAAGCATTTAACTGGATGGACTACAAATTGCTTGCAAAATGGTTGTGTTCTGAATTGATTAACCTAGATAGAAATTGTTACCATACCCTGGTTAATACGACTTGCAGCAGAATCCAACAATGGGCAATTTCCGTTTAAAGGTAGAGTAGGTCATTTGCAGCTGTCGAAAAAGGAACTGACAAAATGAGATACATATAGTGATTAAACATAGTCATGGCACTAAACTCCCTGTGAAAGTATTCCTTCTGGCATGCTGTCATTTTGAAGAAGACAATGAAAGAAGGCAATTTCCAAAGACGTGTCAAGTGACGCATTTTGAGAAATTTCCGTTGGTAGTTTGAAGTTGGGTTTGTAATTTGGCAAATCCGTGAATGGGTGCTCTCAAGCGTTGACACGACACACACCTGCACAAGGTTGCTGTTATTTCGCTGTTTCAGTGCATGACATCGCGCAGCTGCAATCGGCTGAACAAGAACGTGTCTCGGATGCTGATTTCGGGCGCAATTCAAAACATGACTCCCCAACTTTTGAATTGAAAACGAGATCCTAGAATTTTCTTGGAATATATACATCATTCACTGAGCTAAAACTTCATCAGGTTAGTTGACAACAACCCGTCTTTAAATTTTGAGCATTTTTGTTACTTCACAAAAAAAATGCACAAATGACAAATGATCTCCCCTACCTTTAACGCTGTTCATCTGAAAAGTGAATAATACAGGGTGAGTAAAAAAAAAGAAATGTCAGGACTATTGTTTTAGTGAAGTTCTTCATGTAGCACTTTGAAAATATAGGATATGAAAGCCCAATTCATAAGCTTTCTTTTAGTACAAGAATCATTCAAATCACTCATGTACTTTTCAAGTTACGGAATTTTAAACACAACCACCATTTTAAAGTTCTGTCCACGGATCACAAAAAAGGTGTGTGTTCTTTCAGCAAAACGAAAACAATTCACACACATCCCTATGGTGTGTGATTTGTTTTCGTTTTGCTGAAAGAACACCAAACCTTTCTGTGATCCGTGGACAGAATCTTAAAACAGTGGTTGTGTTTAAAATTCTATCACTTGAAAAGTACATGAGTGATTTGAATGATTCTTGTACTACAACAAAGTTTATGAATTGGGCTTTCATATCGTAGATCTTGAAAGTGCTACATGCAGAACTTCACTATCAAAAACAATAGTCCCGACATTTGGGTTTCCTTTTTTTTTACTCACCCTGTAGAACCCTTGCTGTTGTATTCTTGTTAATAGATTCAGCAGGTCAGTAGCTTTGCTGTCAGGGGTTGAGGATGAAGTAGCACCATTTAGTTGAATTTCTTTTGGTATTTTTTTTGTTTGATTGTGCAAGATTGTTCTATAAGTGAAGACATGTAATGACTTGCCAAACTTTTTGAACCAGTTAATGTCGGAGGACGTGTAAACACGATCTGGCAATATACATTCACAGGGGCGGGTGACGGGTTAAATCGTCAAGCTTTCCCTGCGTCTCCGTCGGTGGACATGTATACACGTCAGTGGTTCCCGTCAGTTTTTAACACACCATGTACATATTACTCTCGAGAGTCAGTATTTGTGGTGCTTGATTAAAAAAAAATTGGCCGATATATCTTGTCTTTTTCAAAAACGGTGTTTTTCGACCAAAAATAACCCCGGCAACAAGTGGTTGAATGTAGCTAAGTGAAAGGTCCCGCTTTTTCTGACTGGGTTCAGCTGGTTAACCTTAATAAAGTGACAAAGAAAAACTAGTATAATTGCAGTTATTAAATTAACGAAAGAAATATATTCATGCAAATTTATTCCGGAAAATGAAATAATCATGTAACAAATTTGACCCGACTTCAAACGTTCCTACTTTTATGAAGTGTAATAAATATAATTTCTACCCTTGTTCTTTCTGCCCAGATATGATACCACCGTAGAGCAATACGCCGTAGTGTGTGATCTACTCAGCCTGTACAGCGATGACAAGATGAGACTGCACCGAGCACACGCCCACATTGAGCAGGCCCAGCTACTCCGAGATGGCACACTGGACACTGACTGGTACACTCAAATTACAATGTTCTCTAAGTATCTTAAGATAATTTGTTCTCTTGTTCATTTTTGCATTACTCATTTAATTTCCAAGCATTTGTGGATAGCACATTTAGGGTCCAAAGTATGACAATTTTTCTGTCCCTGTTAACTTTAGTACTTCATAATTTGCTGTGGGGTGCTGTGGTCCAATGGTTACGGTGTTCGACTCGTGTGCCGTGGTACATGGGTTTGAATCCTGATGGGGAACATGGTGCTTGTGCTCTTGAGCAAGGCACTTTACCATTATTGCTTCGTCCTTCGGATGGGACGTAAAGCCGTAGGTCCCGTGTGTTGTGTAATGCACGTTAAAGAACCCAGTAACACTTAAGAGAAGGGGTTTGCCCCGGTGTTTCTGGCAGTGGCTGCAATATGCGCCACATTACCTTGTATACCCTTTATAAAGGTGCTACATAATAAGTCTCATATTTCTCATGAAACTTCATTTACCTGTCTTTAAAAATAGACATAATTACCAGCGCCTTGAGTACCTAGTTGTTGGTAGATACGTGCGCTAAATAAGACTCTGGTATTACTCCGGTATTATTCATTCAATCATCATTAAGAATGACTTCAATAATTTCTTGTTTGTTGGGTGGGTATTTTGCATAATCACTCTTGGAGGACGAATGCGTTAACAAGTGTTTCAGAATTACAAAATCATAGACATCAGATGTAACAGGGACAGGAGAAAAAAAGTGGACCCCAAATTTATATAATGACCCGATTTCATTTATGGTGTATTGGTAGTTTGGGTAATATTGCGCTATTCTTCGACGTGAAATCAAACAAAGTAAACATTATTGTGAAGAGTGGTCACTGTTTATAACTTGACATTGTTTCCAGCTCTCCCGTTGACTGCTGCAAAGAGGCGCTTCACCTTCTGGAGGACCTGGCCCAAGACTTCCTGCAGCAGCAGCAACAGGAGCAGAGCAGCAAAGACTACCTGGTGGTGTTTGATTTGCTCGCCACGGCCCACTTCTGGTTGTACATCTGCCAGAGCGAGGCAAATCAGGTCAGCCGACTTGAAAAAAAAATGACTGGATTGCTTATTTTTGCTAGGATTGTGACTTTGGGCGTGATCCCTAGCTACGTGGCATATACGGGCACACAGCTCCTGACTTGTGCCTTTGAACAAAGACATTGACAAAATGGGGAACAGCCAACATAGAGCTGGATACTTGAATGGTAGAGCACCGGTTCAGTATTCCGGAGGTCGCAGGTTCTAGCCCCCTCTAGTCAGTTTCTTTGTTCAACTTTTAAATCTTGGGGGGGGGGGGAAAAGATGAAAATGATTTTTTGAAACCTTATGCAAGAGTCGGTATTGTGCATCAGAACTGGGTGCCCGAGTACCCGACCGCTGATGTCAGGAACAGGTTCCAGATTATGGGATCGGGTACCTGTAACCAACTTTGCAATTTACTTGGTAACTTCTCAGACAATGAAAAAGAAAGGTTTTGAATGCCATTTGTGCAGAATCTTTAAAATAAAAAACCAGGCTAGATGGAAAACCAAAACAGATTTTAGATTTATGTGCAATTTAATATGCGACAGATGACAGTTGCGAAAGTTGCAGTTTACACTGTAAAGCTGTGAAGCCCTTCAGACAACTTCCAGGATTTGAATTTTGGGGTGGCTTTCTTTTGCGGGCACCAGGGCACCCGTGTTTTACTTCAATAGGGTACCCGGCTCCTGTACTCCCCGTTAATGTACACCACTAGTACTGTCACGCAAAAGTCCATATTGATGTTGTACTGCATTTTGTTCAACATGGTGCTTATGTCTTCTACCATCGCCAGGCAACTTACATCACCTCCCAGTTCCCCAGCACCAAAGAAGATCCCGTCCAACCAGAGTCCCTCGAAGCACCCACCGCCAAGAAGGACAAAGCCTCCAGCTACGTCCCGTCCACCTCCTACACCTTAGCAGCCGAGCATGCGGCCACCGAGCCGCTGGACCGGGCCCTGGACATCTGGAGCGACCTCATGACCGCAGACGGCTGCAACCAGTCCATGTTCAACGATCCATCCTCCACAGGTTACTGCCTGAAGGTGGCTGCCTCGCTGTGCGAACTGGCCGACAGGGTAAGGGATTTGAGTCATGATCAGTGGTTGCGGGGAATCAAGTTTAGTTTAATTTGAACTAGTCACCAGACTCTTTCAATTTGAATAAGTCAGGAGACTACTATGACATGCAAAGGCAACTTATAGACACAATAAGCCTTGCATTAATGCATTGATTTGTATCACCATTAGGCCAAAAAAAATTGTTGTGTTGCTGTCAAATGAAAAATATGAGGAGGGTCGGTTGGTTGGGTTTTTTTTTGGGGGGGGGGAGGTATACATAGATCACATATAGGTCTGCACCTTCTTCTATTACATTCGGTTACCAGTTCACGTCTACCAACGTCCTCGAAACGTTTCTAAGGCTACATGCCAACTACACTGTGTGCATGTATACAATGTACACATGTACACAATGTATGCCCCAAGCCTCAGCCTCAGTTACACATAACAAAATACGGTAAATGTGAGCTGTACTACCATATAGGTATGTACATTTTGTAACGAAATGAAAAATTATGGCATTACAAAGAAACAGTAATGGTAAGGTTAAAGTTTGTATATATTTTTTCAAGTGGAAAAAAATGGAAAAAAAAAAACCCAGAGATTACCAGATTTTTGGGTCTGTAGGATGAGAGCAACACAATTTTGTTTGCCTTATGTCATACAAATCAGAGATTTTCCATACGCATGGAAATTCAATGTTGCGTTTTGCCTTCACCGACGCAATTATAAACACTGTATACTTTGTATTAATCAAGTAGGACTTGAACCCACGACCTCCTGCTTACTAGTGCAGACTTCTCACCACTCGACCATAAGTTTCTGCTACAGTTAAAAAGCATTCGTTTATTGTAAGCAGAAATTAATTTACTGCAAGTAAAAAAACTACATGAAATCTTTCGGTTTGCGGTAACACCATGTGGTAATAACTACTGCTTAGAGAAATATTTAGTTCGGAAAAGAACTTGTCCTGCTTATTATCAACTTCGCTAAGTAGTTTTTTGTTCTGATAAGAACAGTCCTGCTGTAAGTTCTAAACGAACTTGTCTTTGTCTCCTGACGATGACTAGAGCAGGCTAGTCGAAACGTTGAGAGCAAAGACAATTTCATTTAGAACTAACAGCAGGACTGTTCTTATCAGAAAAAAAAAAACTACTTAGCGAAGTTGATAATAAGCAGGACAAGTTCTTTTCAGAACTAAATATCTTCTAAGCAGTAGTTATTACCACATGGTGTTACCGCAAACCGAAACGATACCGATACTCCACCATGCAAAGCCTCAAATCTTATACATGAAATCTGACAATTTGTTTGAAAATACACTCTACAGCCTATCCAGCAAGTCCAAGCCTTGAACCTCCTGGCCCTCCTGTCCACCGCTACCTCATCCAACGAGGATACCATCCTGGCCTACTGTCAGATCATCCAAGCACTGTGTCGCCTGGGAGCCTTCCAGGAGGCTGAGAGTCTGCTTGCCCGTGCCCAGACTCTGATGGGGAAGGCGGTGCCTGATGGTGACGAAGGGACGGGATTGGAAGCTGCGTTCACGATCACTAAGTGCTATGTTATGCTCGCCGCTCGCAAGGTATGTGCACTGCCTGTGAATTTTTTAACCTATTTTTAAATTTATTTGTTATATTTCTTTACCCAGGGTATTTCCAAACAGTGAAAAAAAGTACTGTGCACTGGAGTGCTGTGTCGTTGTTGTGGTCTGGTTCATCATATGTCTCTTACAAGTGCAGTCACAAGTAAATCAGAAGTCCGGTCAGAAGTATCCGATGAATTTCCTTGTCACTGTTCATTTGAACAGTTTCTTGCTTGAATCGGCGTTGGATGAGTTGCGATGGAATATTTAAGAGTTGCATGTACAGGATGAGTAAAAAAACAAAAAAAACCAAATGTCGGGACTATTGTTTTAGTGAAGTTCTGCATGTAGCACTTTCAACATCTAGGAGATGAAAGCCCAATTCATAAGCTTTCTTTTAGTACAAGAATCATTCAAATCACTTATGTACTTTTCAAGTTACGTAATTTTAAATACAACCACTGCTTTAAAGTTCTGTCCATGGATCACAAAAAAAGGTGTGCGTTCTTTCAGCAAACAATTCACACACATCCCTATGTGATTCGTTTTCGTTTTGCTGAAAGAACACTTACCTTTTTGTGATCCGTGGATCACAAAAACTTTAAAACGATGGTTGTGTTTTTTGGCATTTTAAGTGATCTGGCTTCACTCGTTTTGAAACGTATTTGGTAACGTATTTGCTTACGAAGGCAAAATTTGAACCTTATTGAAGGGTCTTATAGAACAAGGTTTAACTCTCTATTATACAGAGGTTTTTGATCTTGTCTTTCTATTAAGACTGGTCAGTTGGAAAAGCTTTAAATAAATTGCTTACTATTCCTGTGCAGTAAGGCAAAACCAAATCACACAGCGGATAAAGGATTGTTTTGCACATTCATTCAAGGATTGTTTTGTAATTCATTTCCAGATTGGAGATTTTGAAACACTCCTGGGGAAAGCCCTCCGGATCCACGGCCACAAGCGCCGTTCCCGTCAGTCCTACCTCCGGAACGCCTCCCTCAAGCACCTCCAGGCCCTCTACCTGCTGCGCCCACCCACGGAGCGATCCCAGGATGTGTCGGTACGCCGCGACCTCATCCCCGACGACCTCTCGCCCCTGGAGCTCCGGGCGGAAGCCATGCGGCTCCAGATGGGGGTGGGCAGGTTGGTGCTGGGCGAGGCGGTGTTTGGCAGCGAGCAGAGCGTGCAAGGAGACGGGTTCAAGCTGGCCGCTGTAGGCAATGATTCAGGTGAAAATTACTGGTTTTTACCAAGATGTAATATGCATGTGGCTCTGGTTTCATAATTTTATATGGCTTTATACTTATATATGGTTGCGGAAGTTTCAAGATTTTTAGCTGCAGGTAGCAGCTCAGCAAATCAGCATGTCTCTGCGTTAGTCCGCACGTTAGTTGGTTAGTTTAGTTAGTAACAAACGTTGACATTGTCTATTGCTCCTACATATTTTGACCAATCTCAACCAAACTTTGTCAAAAGTATCAGTAGCCCAGCCCCAGCATGTCACATGACCAAACTGGGATCAAAGGTCATCATGGGTCAAGGTCAAGATAACGTCAAATTTCTAATAAGCTCAAAGATGGCAAAAGTAGCACTGTCAACATGTTGGCCTTGGTCAAACATTAAAAAAAATGTCCATGGTGACCTCTTCATCTGACCTACAGCTATGGGGTCAAAGGTCAAAATAAGGTGAACACGAATTCGGTGGCCCGCAGCTTCCGAGATCTGATTGAGCTTGTTTGTTCTGTTTATTCAAAGCTGCCTAACAGGAAACAAATCTTACAAAATGAGAACAGGGTATTCATTTGTGTTCTCCCTCTTGCAGGCTGGAACGACATAGAGTTCAACCAGTGGACGGTGCTGGCCAGCGTGCTGCAGTCTCTGTACGACGTGGGCAGTCTGTACATGGAGCAAGGATGCACCAGGGAGGCTAAGAGTTATCTCAAGGAGGGCCTCGTACTCGCAGACAAGTTCATGCTGCCCAGAAGGTTTCACTCAAAAATCTATTTTTTATCTTTGCACAGTTTTAATCAAGTCAATCACAAGTCAAATCACAAGTAAGAGAAGATGAAAAAGTAAAACGGAATGCCTTACCACAGAATATCTTGCCATTTGATGTCAGACTAGGTGATTTGTGACTGACTTTATGATTGCTTGTAATACCTTCATAACAGCTCTGAAATGAAACAAGAAGTACGTCGAGCTTGTTGAAATATGTGAAAGCTCAGTCACTTTGCCTTACCAAAAAAAAAAATTCTGTGGGGACTTGTCCATTATTACACCTGAAACCCTCCTCATTGTTGTATTTTCTTGGTCATTTTCTGAGTGCTTTGTAACCCTAGGAAAAGGCCTATTGAAATGTTATTTCTCTCTCCCGCATTTATGAGAAAAAAGGTGACATTGTTAGTATGTGTCTACTACTACAATACTCAGAATGCAAAAAATGTGTCAATGAGGGCAGCAAACAGAAATAGTCAGTTTGATGACGTCATGCAACGGCGCTTGCACACCACCCCACCTCCCCCCCCCCCCCCCCCACCCACACAAAAAAAAAATCTTAAGGTTGCTTGGTCTGTATTGGGCTGAACATACCGGTACACAATGCATGGATGCTACTTTTGCCATTGACTTCTCAAGCTTTCCCAACATTTCATTAATTCTGCCAGGGAGAAGATCTTTGTAAAAGCTGTGCCTCTCTCCTTTGTCAAATCTTTGAAACCTGACAGGGTGTCAGACAGTAGGCCTAAATTGTTTCCATTCACACAAAAAAACGTAAATTGAAATGTATGCACTATGCGCATGTACGAGTATGGCACAAAAAAAGTTGTTTAATTGTAGAGCCGCAGCTTATTATTTGTGTGAATTTGTCTTCAAATTCTTTTTCTTTCAATCACAGGTCCGTCGCTTTTCTACTCCAGCTCTCCAACCTGCACACCCAGTGCGGTCAGGAGGAAGACTGCCTCGCCAGCCTCTCTGCGGTCCAGCAGGTCCTTCACCTCCCAGAGAAGGCATCTCAACTGAGACGGCGCGACAACACATCGGTAGATGCCCAGGACAAGAAGAACAAGCATGGGTCGGATACCCACGTGGAGACTGATGAGGATGACAATGATGACAACTTCATCAGGACCAAGAGGATCTCCATCTCGGCGGAGTGTTCCTCAAGAGGGACATTCCTTGGAGACACTGACACCACCTCATCCCCTTCTCTGAAAACTCAAACTGTCAAGCTACCTGGTTACCACACCCACCCTTCGGACTGCTTCTGTGCATCCTGCTGCGATGTATCCCTCCACGTACAGGAAGTCTCGTCGTTCTTACGGAGAGCCCAGTGTCTTGAACTTCAGGGTGAAGTCAGCCAAGCCCTTACGAATCTTCAAGTGGGTCTGGATGCGGCAGCATGGAGCTCAAAGAAATCCCAGGTACTCCTGTGCAAGAGTTGCTCCTGTTTGCAGAATGTAGGATCTGTAAAACAGACTAAAGGAAAGGAGGTGAAACGGCCCAAGTCTAAGCAGAGTAGCCCTGATCAATTCAATATGCATCCTGAAACAGCCACCGAGATTCATGCATGCATTGCAAGGCTGACTTTGCTGAACAGCAGTCTTTCAGAAGCTGAACGGACCATCAAGAGAGGCTTGGAACAATCCACCGATGAAAGTATTCCCAAAGCGTGGTTGCAGTTTTATGAAATCCTTGTCACACTAGAACTTAAGTCTCAACGAACCAATACAACAATCAGCGATCTAATATTCTCAATGTGGGATTTGCAGTCCAGCAGTAAACATCACAAGGACGTACAGGCTCCCGAAGAAGATCTTGCATCGCAGTTTGACCAACTGCACCTGGGGAAGCAAGTCAGCAAGCGCCTGGCACAGTTTCAAGACTCGGTGTTCTCTGAAAGAATGCACAGACCTGAGGTCTCTCGGAAACGCTCTGATAAAGTGACTGAGCCTGGTATCTTTTGTGATATCAGCGATGATGATGATGATTCTAACGGTGTCCCGAACATGGCGGTTTGCTCTGCCAAAAGTACTAAGAAGCAGCGGCAAGTGACCAAAGCAACACCACATAATCTAGGGTTGAGTTCCAAGAAAGGAGCCCTGATGTTCAGCGTGAGGAAGAAAAGACCTGCCAAGAAAGTTGTCCAGGATGAAGTAACACCTCTCAATTCGGCCGCACTGAGCGCTTTCGATTTTGATGAGCCAAGCCCCTCTGAGACCAAGAAGAAAGGAACACGAGGGAGACCCTGCAGAAGTGCAAAGACCACTGCTAAACGCAACGCGAAGATCATCAATTTGTTCGATTCGGATGTTGATGAGGTTTTCGAAGAGGAAATAGAGACAAAGAACTGCAAGACCGCCACGGGATCAAAGAGACGGACGGCCAAAAAATCGGTGAGGATCAATCTGGATTCTGAGAACTTACCAAATCCACTTGAAACTGAAGACTTACAGGAGGAACCTGCTTCATCAAAACCTTCAAGGAAATCTAAACAACCAACAGGAGTAAGCGAAGACAGCACGGCTAAACCTAGGCGGGGTCGGAAACCCAAACCAACGGACACAGAACCATCTGAACCATCGACGTCACGATCGCGCCGTGGCCGGAAACCCAACACAGAGAATTTGCGGTCAGAGGTCGTGACCCGGGTCAGCGATGATATACTTCAGGATCTCCTCTCAACCTCCCTAGAGCTTGAATCCCCGGTTAAGATGCACCCACCATCCCTCCAAAGCCCTAACCTTAGTGACCTACGTTTTGACTTTGAAACCAACCAATTTTCTAGGAACATCCCCACCCTGAACCCTCTCCCCAATGGTACCTCCCTTGTCCTCCAAGATCTGGATGAGATCGAAATCCCGCGTGCAGGGTGCGACTCGGACTCAGACGAATCAAAAAGCGCCATCAACATTCGTCGGAAAACAGCCAGAAAACCTGCGGCATCGAGAAGGAAGACTGGTGAACGGTGTATCGTGGAGGATACGGAGGTGTTAAGGGGAACAAAGAACACCGCGGTAGATGCTGAGTCAACTAGGAAAAAGACACACCAACCTGCACAGTCTGGAAAGGCTCAATCTGGATTAATCAACCCAGGTCAGGGGAAAAAGTTGATCATTTCTGTTTTTCTCTTTTTAATTTGCTCAAGAAGCCTTCAGCTGAAAGATGTGCCCCTTGTTGTTCAGAGTTTAACAGAATTACAATCGCAAAACAAGCATCCGATCACATTTCTCTTACCTTTGAGTATGGATTTTCTCGAAAGTGTGAATGTTCAATACTTAATCAGTTGTAGTTGCATCGAAGAAATCTTCGTATTGAACATGCCACACACAAAAAAGTGTGCATCTCTATTAATCAACCCTCCTGCAGTAACAGACAGACAAAATATCAAGCCTGTTCCCCTGCTAATGGCTTTATACAGAGGCTTGTCACCAATGGTCAGATCTCATTTCTTGTAGGCACTGTGACAATTCAAATTCTATCAACAGACAAAAGCAACTAACTGGTGGGTACAGCTGGCATATCAATATCCTGCAGTCAAAACCTACATGTAGCTGTATCAAGTTAAATAAATGGCCACAGCCAGCCAATTCTGCTTTATGTTAATAGGGAGCTCTTAACAGTTAGTAAGAGTAACTTGATTGATTTTGACTACTGGAATTACTTTGCTCAATTTGCTAGCCAGAGAGGGAGGATTATCTGATATTTAAACTTCTTTTATTTGGAACAGGCCCAAAGCCCAAATTAGACTCCTAGCCCCTTCCCCAATCTCTACCATTACTCGTGCCTTACCCCACTTAAAAAAAACAAACTTGATGCACCATTTCAGTCCAAGCTAATTTTGCATTTATACCGAGTGCGTTCGATTACTTCCCCGCGCTTACTCGTGCAAGCGCGACAGCATTCGATTTACCTCTCGCGCTTACTCGAGCCTGGCCCAAGTGACCGACTCGCCGAGCCGGTTACTTGGAAAAGTATCCCATAAGGCAATAAACATGGCTGCCAACATGGCTGCCAACGGGCGGGAAAAATGTTGCAACCTGATGCCACTTTTTAAGTTCATAATCATCTCAATGAAGTTCATTCATTGAAAAATGACGATAAGACGTGAATTTGGGACTGAGAAACATTTCCAATTTTGTTAGGAAATACTTTTTCTTGAATCTCCATAGAGTTTGTACACGAACCGCTGAAGTGGTGTCAGGTTGCATTTTTTTTTTCAGAAACAGGCTTCCAGAGCTACGGCTACGTCTATTGTCAGCGCGTCCCCGCGTATTTTCAATGGGCGTGGACCTAGACCTAGCTCTAGACAGTTGATTCAGATGCAGCCTGTATCATGTCAAAATTCAACTTTCCACTTTTGCACGAAAGTTTACCCGAAATCGTTTGTTTGAGCTCCACTGTGCATGTCTGTCATCACGCGAGGAGCCAGGCGCGAGTAAGCTGGGGGAGGGGAAGTAATCAAACGCACTCACCTAAAAGAGTTTGTATTCACACCTTTTCTTTTCTCAACTTTTACAGACACCAATCTGGCCTCGATTATCTCCACCCTGGAGCAAATGAATACCCAGGTGCGTCACCGTGCCCCCGCCCTCCTGTATCGCCGTGTGTGTCAGCTGCTGGCCGCCTGCTGTGGTGACAGGGACCCAATCAAGGCGGCTTACTACCTGAGCGAAGCCACGGCAGTGACCCTCCGACATCAGAAGCTGGCCAGCCTAGCCAAGAAGATGAAGTGAGTATGAATTACTTTCCTCTTTGATCAGTTTTACTGGACTTGCTTAGTAGTATAACTTGGGGCAAAGCTTTTGCGTATACCATGTGAAATGAGAAGTGTAGCTCTGGAAAGAACCAACAATATTTCATTCAAAGTTATGGTAAATACACTCGATCGTCCAAACATGCTGAGCAAAAATTTTCAGAACCAAGTTGATCTTTAAGAGTTTGTGAATTTTCTTTGTGCATCTTCAAACTTCTCTCAAGTTGTACATTCAACCATGCAAACCCTCACAATCGCATTTATTGATGTAAATAGAGAGAAAATCCACGTTGGCGCAGTGGTACTTTCCGCGCCTTTCATCCCTACGACCCAGGTTTGAATTCTGCCAGTACAAACGGTGTTTTATTTCTTCATTGTCATAGGTCTTCCTGAAATGAGTGTGTAGGTTTGTTTTTAAAGCATTAAGAAGCAAAACTAGATTTTTCTTGTGAATAATCTTTCAACCCCTTTTCAGACACACATATATTGCTGAACTATTACTGTTCCTCTTTAAGTTTTTTGTTTTCGTCTCCGATGCGATTCAGGAAACTGAAGAAAGAGATTGACGCGGACAGCGTCCAGAACCTGGCGGAATCCCTGGCCACGATGGCACTGGATTGTAACAGCAAGGATGGCCGGACACACAAGAGCAACCTGAAGCATCTTGTCAACCAGAGAGCCTTGTTCACGTTCAGTCAGGACCCTGCAGGGGACACCCACCTTGATGTGGTGCAACAGACAATCAATGCTCTGCCGGAGGGTAAGATTTAAGCCCTCACATAAATAATATCAGGTTGGTAGGTCGGTCAGGGATATTTGGGGGGGGGGGCTGGGTGTAGATAGTACACATATAGGTTTACCTTTTCTTCTAATTGACGAGTAATTGGAAAGAATGGCCACTTGTCGGTTACCAGTTCTTCTCTACCAACGTACACGAAATGTTTAGGCAACATGTATTGCACTCGCCAACTATACTGTGTACATGTACATGCATGCGATACAATGTACAGTACATTTACACATGTATACCATGTTTGCAGTACATCACACCGCAATATGGTAAATTGAAACTGTACTGCCATTAAGGTATGTATGTTTTGTAATAAAAATGCAAAATTATGGCATTACAACGAAACAGTGATGGCAAAGGTAAAGTTTATTTAATTTTTTTCAAGTGGAAAAAAAAAACGACCAGAGATTACTGGATTTTTGGGTCAGTCGGGTGAGGGCAACACAACTTTTTGGGGGGGCCTTGTCATTACACCTCGTGCATATTTATGACCCAAACACACTTCTTTCATTGGTCAATGTTGCAACTGGTCAGGGAAGTAAAAAGTATATGTAACTGCCCCGCATGTGCGACGCATATACCATCGCACAACTAGTCGGTAGTACTGGGAAAGTAGTACTCCAAGATGAGCTCCTTGACTTATAAATATGATGGGATAGCACTGTATGATAGCACTGCCTGGCTCTCTTCACCAGTCTATGACCAGGGACCAAATTTTGCGGAGCTGCTTAGCACAAAAATTTGCTTAGCACAAAAAAGTAAAAGCAGGTTACCAGCCAAAACTGCACATAATTTTCATGATAAGCAACAACAGCTGAATACTAATCACGAGCAATATACATCACATGGTATTTTGGCTGGTAATCTGCTTTCATAAGCCAGACTTTTTTCGTGCTAAGCAAATTTTTGTGCTAAGCAGTTCCATGAAATTGGTCCCAGGCTAGCAACAAGTAACATTCTTTCGGTCTTTCAGTCAGTCGGATAAGAGGACATTTGGTTGGCCCTCTCGGACCAGCAGAATGTATCATTCTTTGTTTTGATCATTGACGATTCTGCTTACAGGATGGACAGTGTGTATTCTGTCGGCCGTCTCATTCAGTGCATCTCTGACTGGTAGCCTGACGGACGGGGACCGGTTAATCATGTGCCGTCTCAGTAGAGGTAACACACCGATCATCGTCAATCAAGCTATGGTAAGAAACCTAAATCACACTTTCATGACAGAACCGGCCAAAAAAAATTGGTTTGGAATCTGGGGCGTTCCTTTTTATTTGTATCATTAGTATTATTTTTTCTGCTTAGAAGCTCTGCAAAACTAGACCATGATATCAACCATTGCCTTTGATTTTACACTGCAAACAGAGTCCCAGTGGGCAAGGCCCGTCGGCCGCAAGCCTCCTGGAGGAGTTTGACAGCATCCTGACAGAGAGCAAGCTCAGCGTCAAGGAGACAGACAAGAGGGCCTGGTGGACCTGCAGACAGGAGCTAGACCAACGCATGCAGGTACTAGACAGTGCTCATTACAAGACAAGACAAACCCAGTAAACCTCGTCTCAGAGTACAGACAATTCTGTTTCCCAGCTGCTCTGGAGATCAGGGAAAACCATGAAAATGAGATTCCATTTCTTCCAGTCAGGGCAAACGCAGGGCATTTGGGAAAAACGCCAAAAAAGCAAGGTTCTCTTGTAGTTTTCTCTCAGAAAAAAATTAGAAGTGATTGAGAATTTTTTTTAAAATAATAAATTGAATAAAGTCAACCTTTACAATAAAGTTAGATAAATAGTTGATTGACTTTCAGAAAAAAAATAACCTTGCATAGAAAAGTAGGAATCCATTGAATTTGGTATCATTCTTAAGCTTTGAGTGTTTATTCCTCTCCACACACCAACAGGCCTTAACGGATGCGATGGAGGAGACTCTGTTAGGACAATGGAAGGGGCTGCTGATTGGACAAAGGAGGAACAAGGAAGAGCGACGAACCATAGCCCTGGCTGCAGACAAACTCAAGACTCGGGTGGAGTCTGCCGGCCAGAAAACGGTGGACTCACAGCTCTGTCAGGTAGGCTGGCTAGAAAAAGCTGAGTTTTGACAAGAAACGTCAGAACATTTGAGGTCGTTGTAGCTGTGTGTTATCCTCCTATGAGTTTTATGCATTTCTAAATAATCCATTCGTATTCTGCTTGCCTCGATCATTTGCAGTTGTAAGTCACCAGACTTGCAGTCTAGTCACCTAAATTACTTTTTTCACCTAACTTCTTATCTAGTCAACTGACTTTTGGTCTAGTTACCTGACTTGCAGTCTAGTCACCTAACAAGGCAGTCTAGTCACCTGACTTACCAATATGTCACCTGACTTGCAGTCTAGTCACCTAACTTGCAGTCTAGTCACCTGACTTGCAGTGTAGTCACCTGATTTGCAGTCTAGTCACCAGACTTGCACTCTAGTCACCTAACCTGCAGTCTAGTCACCTGACTTGCAGTCTATTGACGACCTGCAGTCTGGTCACCTGACTCACAGTATTGCTCTTGCTTGCACAAAGAGATAATTTTACTGTGATTATTCGAAGCTCTGCATCCTTTAATTCCACTTTTGTGTCTTCGTTCCGTATCCACAACAGTGCATCTTGGAGTCTTTCCCCAAGCTCAGCAAACCGCACCTGAATAGCGCCCTCGCCTGTTTGACGGGTCTCCAGCCAGGCTCCGAGGAGCACTCCAGCCTCGTTTCGTCCTTCAAGCAGCTCACTAAAGACTTGGCGCCGGCTACAGGCAGGGAACCAGTTATACTGATTCTGGATAAGGTAAGTACAACTTAAACATTTCAGTAATGAAAAACATCAGATGTAAGCCATACATGTATGTTTGCTTCATGTCACCTTTTTGGTTGCAATATTTAGAGCAATAATTGTTTTATGTCTTTATTATCATGCAGTGTTGTAGTACTCGTACTCATACTCGTAATTGAGTACCTTTTTCCCATACTCGTACTCATGGCAAAGTACTCGTACTCATTAGAAAAGACTTGTAGTTATACTCTTAAAAATACAGTGTAATAAAAATCGGAAAAAAAGTGGACTTGAATGAAGGCGTACTCGTTCTGGTGGAAAGCTACTCGACAACAACACCTTTATCCTCCTGGTTGTCCCAAATAGGAAAGTGACATTGTTCTCTCTCAGAACAAGAGACTCACACAAACATACAGGGACTGAAAACCCAAATCAGGGGTTTTAGGGAAGGGTAGCCCCATCAAACTAACGAAATTGCTGCCTGGTTACACTTTTTATTGCTTTGCTTTCTTTATTTCACATCATCCACTTCAATTTTTTAGCTAATAACAAAGAAAGTCCCACAGTTCTGCCTGACTTATCCCAAAACAATCGAAAATTCAGGCTTTGGACTTTCTCCTTTTTATGTTTTTTAACTACAAAATGAAAACTAAAAAAGCAGCAGGCAGCTTTTGTGCAGCATTTGGTCATAGTGCTCATACTACAAAGTTGCACATCTAAAAGCAGTTTTCCTGAAATGTTTTCTTGAATAACTATGCAATGTGGTTATTACCATGTAATGAGGCTATCATAAGACAATCAAGTCATGTAAAATATTACTTAGAAATTTGTGGGTTGCACCACGAATTGACATAAAGATTCAATTTTTGCGCACAGGGAAGTAACGGAAAGTGCATATACATGTATTTGAGGAACCACTGGAAATAATGCAAGAATGGTAGATGTATGCAGCTCAGAAAAATAATTTCAATTGTGTAAGCTATATTATACAAATATTGAACGCATCGAGTGGTGTAGTAAAACTAGCCTCCCGAGGTGATCCATGGACATTCTATTTTCCCGAGGCGAAGCCGAGAGAAAATAGAATGCTCCATGGATCACCGAGGGAGGCTAGTTTTACTTCACCACGAGATAAAGTATTCAATATTTGTTTTATAACACTTCACACACAGATTCTGCTTGATTTTAATATTTCAAGTTATTTAAATCTGAACACAGTCAAAAAATATTTCAGTTTCAATACAAAGTTGGTGGGAAATGTAATACTCTCTTCCAAACCACCCCTTCACAAAATATTTGAACCCAACTCGGTGGCACGCTCTCTTGGGAACAATACGCGCTACGTGCAACGCTCAACGCACACACCAGCATGCATTTGCACACAAATGCCGCGCCATGGGTATAGTACTTTGGTTGCTACGGGTATAGTACTTTGGTTGCTAATGGTATAGTACTTTGGTTGCTAATGGCATAGTACTTTGGTTGCTAATGGTATAGTACTTTGGTTGCTAATGGCATAGTACTTTGGTTGCTAATGGTATAGTACTTTGGTTGCTAATGGTATAGTACTTTGGTTGCTAATGGCATAGTACTTTGGTTGCTAATGGCATAGTACTTTGGTTGCTAATGGTATAGTACTTTGGTTGCTAATGGTATGGTACTTTGGTTGCTACGGGTATAGTACTTTTGGCCGTGCATAGGAAGATAGCAAAAATAGAAAGTACCATGTGACTCGCTCTCAGCCAATCAAGACACAGAATCTATAGGTGAGGTGTTATAATGTATATTGTTGTCAGGCACACGGTCAGCGATGTGCACCTCACATTAAAATAGTAAGATATGGACCTCTTGAACCAACCACACAAAATGTCATCAGCACCATATTCTAAACAGTGCGCACCAAGTTTAGTGAAATCGATTGTAAGTTTTTATTTGTAAGTAAAATTGTAAGTAAATTTGTTGCGTAAATCATGCGCATGGTGTAAGATATATGCACTATTTCTTGAAATCAGCTGCACATGTTGGATTGTATTTGGGGATGTTTCTTTTTACGATTCATCGTCATTACTGTCAGCTGCAAAAGTCACCGTTACGTTGGGCCTAGGCTGGGCAACGGGAAGTTTCCTGAACACTAACAACCCCGAGATGAAATCGGTCACTGCGGCCGGTACCATAGAGAGGGGTTTGTGTAGAAGCTTGACGTCATTCCCCGGCATGTAGCGCCGCCACGGCCAGCGTGCACAGAGGGCGTGCTCCATGGCGTCGGTGACCAGATGCAACTTCGGCGACGACTTCAACAGTTGGAGAGTCACTTTTTCCTTCACTGGATTAAAAAAAAAAAAAAGGAAAGGTGAGATGCACAAATGTGTGGTAGTTCTGGTGGAATAAAACCAAAGGTGGCAAAATATGTGATGGACTGCATCTGTGTCAGATGACGTGTATACACACAAAGGTTTTGCGGTATTTGGAACGGATGACAACAGCTTCCTCATACATTTAACACACACGATTAGAGACGGCAGTTTTACATCCTGCTTCTACAGAACATTTTCGCAAGTTAGTACCTGAAAATGGTTCACTGCCTTTCAGCAGATTGTCATCACACCAGTTACAACCAAGTTGGGCTGATGTTCGCTTCAAAGAGAAGAATCAAGCCCATTGTGAAGCAAATTTCTGAACAGCCCTAGCAAAACCACGGGGTTCATGTGGCCGTTGCAATGCACGTGAACCAGTAACTGTGGTTGATCTCGGAGTGACGTCACGATTACGACAGCGAATAACTCCATGTCTGAGCTTACATGTATCAAAGTACTCTTGGCCGTAGATATCTCTCTCCTGCGGTGGTAGCCTCTTCCACATTCTCTCAGCCGAGGCCATGATTACATCCACTGACGTTATGTTTGTCTTGAAGTAGCCCGGCTCTAGTATGTGGACTGTCACGCCAAATGCTTTGGAACTGGTGCTGCATGTTAAAAAAACCAAAACAAAATAAACAAACAATTTTGATGGTTTTAGAGGATTTGCAGTATTCGGGAAAGTAGAACAGACAAGTGTGTATTTGCCCGCAATCGGGAACGCCCTATTGTCCCTCTTTTGGTTGTACTTTAACCTTTTAGGAAGACCTCCCATATGTTTTGTACACATAGCCAAATTGGGGACTTTCGGATATTGGGAACCCTATATTGTCCTCTATTGTTCAACGTCCCCTATTGAATGCAGAAACAAACTCATAATCATTGTCACAATACACACATATGGGGTTTGCTGCAAACTTGAATGTGCTATTGGGTTTCTACATTTCTAAACACAGAATCTTGGTTTATATAGCCCCCAACGGAAAGTTGGGCCCACTGAGTGTGCAGGGAAGGCACTTGCGGTCATCAGTTTCTGAATGGAAGGGGTAACACATGATGGCTTTGGTCAAAGTTTCAATAATTACGAAGCGTCCTCCAGGATTTATTTCCAATTTCCGAGGGAGAGGGGTGTTACGCAGGGGCATAGGTCAGGGGAGCAGAGGGGGATATTCACTACATGTATACTACTAACCGCATCGTGTCTGAGAAGGCTTCCACCCCTATCTTGGAAATGGAGTATCCGCCAACCATTGCCGGCAGTAAGGCCAAGGCACTGGACACGTTGACGATGCGTCCCCGCCCCTGGCGTATCAGCGGGAAAAAGACGTTGGTGACTTCGATGGTCCCCATCAGGTTGACGTCCAGAATGCGCTGGATCTCACACTTCTTGTGCCAGTGAATAGGGCCGATGTTACCGGTCACGCCGGCGTTGTTGACCAGACCCCACAGACCTGGGTATTGGATGTCGAGAAGAGACCAAGATGCGTTACAGATAGAATTGATTGTAATTGTTTGGCAAACAGTCTGCACACTGGGTCACTGTCGGCACTACTGCAGATGCAAGGTGGCCATCGACAGCAGCATTGCATGGAGAAGACCAATTACTCGAATAAAATAGCTACAGTTCTGAGTAGGGTAGCCTCCCGTTTTCAATTTGGAATCTCCTTCTGGCTCATAAACTACAGTAGCGTGCCTGTTAATAATAATACTAATAATGTGTGGCGCTTCTATAGCGCTTTCCATCAAAAGTAGGTCTCAAAGCACTTCACAATAATTATCCCTGTCCAACGGGCCACAAGACCACTTTTCTGCAGCCAAGATCAGCGCAATCTGGTCTCTACCCTCACAGGTACCCTTTTATACTCCTGGGTGGAGAGAGAGAGACAATTGTAGTAAAGTGTCTTGCCAAAGGATGCAAGGACACAAGCACTATGTTCCCCATCTCTCGGGGTTTGAACCCATGGCACATGGGTCAAACACCATAACCGTTATGACTGTAACCATTGCTTTAAATTGTTTTTTTTTTTAAGGAATGTTTGGCAGTTGACTGTAGTTGACAACAATTAGCAAGTGGTATGGCCATCCTGGCTTGTTTCAGACTCAAAACATGGAGTCATGTCACTGCATGAGATAAGCTCACACTTGCCTTTTCCTGCCACAATCCTGACGACTTCCTCGCGAGCCTGCAGTATGCTTTTCGTGTCGGTGACGTCCATCTGGATGGCCGTCACGGTCCCCTTGGGGGCGCCAGACATGACGTCCTCCATGCCGGCTCGCGTCAGGCAGCACGCGATCACATGACACCCGCGCTTCGGCCCAAGGTACTTAGCGAGGATGTTGCCGAAGCCAGAGTCGCAGCCGGTGACCAAGACATAACAGCCGGCGACGCCCAAGTAGACTCGGTCCATTAGGGTCACGACCAAGGCCGTGAAGGCTACCAGCGCGGCTATGATTACCAGCCAAGAAACCATGATTGCTCACAGGAATCTTCGCGTTTGTCTGTAAATGATATTCACCTAAAGTAGGAAAATAATGGGTACATGTACATGTAGATAAAACCTCTTTTTGGGAGGTCAGTATTCAGAGCAGTATGTAAAACCCTTTAAAAAGCCTGCGGGTCAGTTTCAGCTGAAGGGATATGAAGTGTTAGAGTAACTGTGTCACACAGAGTCACTGCACACAAAAACAGCACTGTGTACAGCAGTGAAGTGTGACTAAATCTGGCTGCATACGACCCGATCACCTTTTTAAAGTGGTACAAATTAATCTTTCTTTTTGTCTGGACAATAATTCTCTGCAGGTTTCTCCTAAACATTTTATAGTAGAAACTTGTAACTTTATATAAACTTTGAACATATATCGACAGTGATCCCAACTGGTGCATATTACTCTGACGTCATGATGACATCATCAGATCTCAAAATACAAGCGATTTTTGTTCAAAAAGGGACAAACTTCTTTCACTCATAACTCTTGAACAAAATGTTCAATCATCTTCATACTTTGCAATCTGATAGACCATACCTTGATAAATATTTGTTGTCATGAACGAGAAGTCGCTTGACCTTTCCTTCCGGGGTTACGGGAAGGTCAAAGTTAGGTCAATTCAAATGCAGACAGAACCCTCAAATTAAAACACACAAAACTTCCTTGCAAACTGTTAACCCTAACCGCACCCAATGCTACAAAATACTACTAAGTAGTAACCTGTAATATGCATTTCTAAAGGGATGACGATAAAACCTAGCATTAACTGTGTAAAAAAAATTCTGACGCAATCATGGCGTCATCAGGTATCAAATTACAAGCGATTGAAGGTCAAAATTCGGTCTCAGACTATTCGGTCTCAACTACAACACTGGTGTTAAGTGAGGAATGTTTAACCCAATGCATGCGATGACGTGTCCTCATGACACACCGAACAGCTAGCATTATCTAGCGTATAAAACTACATGTATACAGTTACCAGCACAAACTCGTCCAAAAAATATAGGCTTGAGATGTTATAATTCAAGTACAACGTAATAACCTGTGCCAGTGGTAACAGACAACTCACCGAAAAGTCTAGCAGAGTCAACACCAACACATTTGCGTATAGGTGGTCTTGGTTTGAATAGACCACAGAACCAGCAACTCTCGTTGTGTACATTCAGCCAGTACAAAAGGTTTGCCGATAAAGAGATATGCACATCAAATCACAGTGTATGTCAAAAGTTTGCTTTGCCCTTGTGTACCTAGTACACTGACAAAAGATATCTGGGAGTACAGTGGACTATGGAACTTCAAAGTCACAAGTATTTTCAGTGCCCATGTGATACCAACTATTGAACCCTGTGTGCCATTGAATTCAACGTATCTTAGTCTATGCATGCACAGACTTTAGGACAAGTCGTTAATGGACAGTCGTGCTTTGCCCGACGAGGCCCCTATTATTTACTAGCACGGCGCTCGCTAGCGCTGTACTTGTGTATCATGTTTACATCCACCATCGATCCGACATGTCCAACGACTTGACTAACTTGGATGGTTATTATTCATTTATGCGTCCAGCGAAATGCATATATGCATTACGTTTCCATAGAGAGGGCCAATGATAACCCGGCTGCATCGTTGGGAAAGCAGCCATTATTAAAGTGGGGTTACAGTTCGCAGCACGCTGGATCAATGCACACTTCTTTTTTGTTCTCTCTCTTTTTCGAACAATTTTCGTTGAAATATTACACTAAGTGTTAAAACAGAAAAAATTAATGTCCAAATCTCGTTTTTCGAATAAATAATGGTGCATGAAGTCCGTAGGACACAGGAAAAAGCTTTCGACCTCACGAGCAATTAATTTGTTTCAGGCTGTGTTGCATGGTGATCGAGGCATTCACCGCGCAAGTCCACGAATGTAAGTGAAATATGACACCCGTGGGAATGTCGCACTGCACCGCGCCGAGACGGTGTAAGATAAATATTCGTATCCTCCTGATTTTTGACCAATCAGAGTGCTCCATCTAATTTTGGTAGCAACTCAATGCCTTGTGCACATCGGGCGCAGATTATTCAAGTTGGTAATTGGAGTCGACATACATGTAGACGCATATGGGGCAAAGGATGCAGGAAATGTTCCCGCAATTAAACCACAAAATTAACAACAGACTCATTACTGTGCTGTGGATAAAAAGCGTGTTTTATTTAAAGAATTTTATTTATGGTCAATTAAAAAGTGTGAAACTCGCCCCAGTCCACCCTAACATTTTTAATTCAAATTTTAATACATGAGTTTGTTTTTTAATAAGGCCCTCCCAAAAAAAATAGTTCTGCTTCCAGTTTCTCTACCTAGCCTATTCTGACGGCCCCTACCCTAATTTTTTTATTGGAAAAATGAGGAAAGAAACGTCCAAAACCATCAATTTCTACCTTTTACCCTTGACTACACGTAGACGCCATATGATCGTACACCAATAAAAATTTCAAAAAAAAAATCCCTACCTACCTACCCTATTTTGAAATGCCATGTAATCGGAAGCTGAACTATTTTGTTTTTTTAATAAGCCCAAACTCTCAAGGTTCATTTAAATGATACAGAATTTTGTTGAATTGAGCGTGGTTGGGGTTAAGTTACAGTGTATGGCGTAGCTAAAGATAATGGAGTATTTCACTGACTAAATCGTGATCATTGTGGATCCTGTCATTGCTCAACTAATCAAGGTTGATTCAAGAAACTCACAGCTTTGTTTTTGAAGTAAGTGAATTGCCTCGGAATTTAGTGAGTTGCTGCATTATTCCGGTAAGCAGAGGGGATACAATGACTGTATTGAGTCGAAACCGTACACGAAGTCAGCTGTAGTAAAAGTTGTTATTATCATCAACTTGGGCCAAGTTCGCGCAAGGACTCTAGCTGACCAATGGTTATTCAATAACGTTTGCCCAAACTCTGTCTAGTCGACGATGGTTGACTACGCTAGTCGACTATTTGGAACCAGCCTACTGGGGTTGGTTGCTTCGCTGGTAACCAATAGCCGCTCGCATTCATAACGCTAGCAGAGAGCCAGGATCCAGAAGTTTTGCGATGCATTTTTGACCAGCGTTTGACTAGAGACGTTCGCACTTTGCTATCAGTGCGCAGGGGTAAGGTACGTCACAAATCAACCACTAGTCGACTAATGGTCCTTGCCCGAACTTGGCCCAAGATGTTTAGATTATTTAAAACATTTTGAAGCTACATCAAGTTTTGTGAAATTGATTGTAAGTCTATTATAGCTGCGTAACAAATTTGTTGCATAAATCATACACATGGATGATGTTAGATACACCAGTGTTAGATATCTCATGAAATCAGCTTAATATGTTGGAAGACATTCAGGGACTTTATGATTTATCATCATTACTGTCCGTTGCAAAAGTCACTGTTGCGGTGGGCCTAGGCTGGGCCACGGGAAGTTTCCCTAACAACCCCAGGATGAAATCGGTCACCCCGGCCGGTATCATGGAGAGGGGCTTGTATAGAAGCTTGACGTCATTCCCCGGCAAGTAGCGCCGCCATGGCCAGCATGCGCAGAGGGCGTGCTCCATGGCGTCGGTGACCAGATGCAACTTCGGCGACGATTTCTCCAGATGGTGTATCGTTTTTTCCTTCACTGGATTTAAAAAAAAACAAAGAAGTGTGGGGTCCAAAAAAGTCTATCAGTTAAAAGGATGACAACAAAGTTGCCAGGTATATGTACATGTATACGAAATCTAAAAGTTTAAAAAGGGGTTAAATATTCACAGAGTACTGAGAAAGTTTTAAAACTGTTTTACAAAATAAAAAATTTTCTCTGGAATATCAAAACACTGGAAACTAACATTTACTAGTGCACAAATCATGTTTCGTGAACCAACATAAAATGCTGCATACAAAAACCTAACATAATTGATTGGATCCTTGCACCAAATAATCACTTTTGTTTGTAATTGGGATTATGTGGTTTCTTAAGTAAATGTAAAGTCAGTCTCCATCAATATGGCTCATCAGCTTGGTGTTCATTTGCAGCCATGAGAGGACTGAAAATATTTCCATTCCCCCTTGATCAGATGCCATTCCTTCACACATGTCACATGTTACTGTCCAGCTAATACCTGTGTCCCTTTATGGTCCTACGTTGGGTAAAGTGGCTTGCCCAAGGACACAAAATATGGCCAGTTGAAAATATTTTGCACCCCTGACCCTCTGATCATGAGTCACAGTACCCTATTATTAGTTGTCAGGTACGTACTTACAAATTTTGGCATTATTCTACAACATTTCCCAGAGTACCACTGTGATTGTGGGGTATATGAGCAGACGTGAATAGAAGGTTACTGGTGTAGGTTTTTAATACACATTGCTACAGCCAAAAATTGCCTTTTCACAATATTTTGATTTTTAGACTGAAGTAAAATACATAAATTACTTCAATAGACAGAATTTTTCTAGTGTTTATTATCTATAGCTCCATGCTTGAACTTACTTGCATCGAAGTACTCTTGGCCATAGATATCTCTCTCCTGCGGTGGTAGCCTCTTCCATATTCTCTCAGCCGAGGCTAACATTCCGTCCACAGACGTGAGGTTTGTCTTGAAGTGGCCCGGCTCTAGTATGTGGACCGTCACACCAAATGCTTTGGAACTCATGCTGTGTGCCAAAAAAAAAAATACACACACAAATTTTCAAGAATTACGAAGCTCCTTGAGGATTTTTTTCCCTTTTGTAATTTCTGAGGGAGAGGGGAGTTACACAGGGGGTAGAGGTGAGGGGAGTAGGAGGATATTCACTATACTACTAACCGCATCGTGTCTGAGAAAGCTTCCACCCCTATCTTGGAAATGGAGTATCCCCCGGCCCTCATCGGCAGCAAGGCCGTTGCGCTGGACACGTTGACGATGCGTCCCCGCCCCTGGCGTATCAGCGGGAAAAAGACGTTGGTGACTTCGATGGTCCCCATCAGGTTGACGTCCAGAATGCGCTGGATCTCACGCTTCTTGTGCCAGTGAAAAGGGCCGGGGCTACCGGTCACGCCGGCGTTGTTGACGAGACCCCACAGACCTGGGTTTTGGACGTTGAGAAGATGTGTTACAGATAGAAGTTGATTGAAATTGTTTGGCAAGATTCGGCATAAAGTCTGCACACTGTTTCACTGTCCGCACTAACTGAAGAAGCAAGGTGGCTACCGACAGCTGCGCTGCATGGAGAAGACCATACCCATAATATAAAAAGCTGCAGTTATCAGATGATTTATCTACTATTTTCAATTTGAAAGCTCTTTCTGGCTCTTATACTACCGTAAATTATACTGTGCCTATTTTTTAAGGAATGTTTGGCATGTGACTGTAGTTGACAGTTGTATGACCATCATGGCTTGTTTCAGACTCAAAACATGGAGTCATGTCGCTGCATGAAATAAGCTCACACTTGCCTTTTCCTGCCACAATCCTGACAACTTCCTCGCGAGCCTGCAGTATGCTCTTTGTGTCAGTGACGTCAACTTGGATGGCCGTCACGGTCCCCTTGGGGGCGCCAGACATGACGTCCTCCATACCAGCTCGCGTCAGGCAGCCCGCGATCACATGACACCCGCGCTTCCGCCCGAGGTACTTAGCAAGGATGTTGCCGAAACCCGAGTCGCAGCCGGTGACCAAGACGTAACGGCCGGTGACGTCCAAGTAGACTCGGTCCATTAGAGACACGACCAAGGCCGCGAAGGCTACCAGTGCGGCTATGATTACCAGCCAAGAAACCATGATTGCTCACAGGAATCTTTGCATTAGTCTGTCAATGATATACCTAAGGGAGAACAAAATGGGTTGATAAACCCTCCTTTTGGGAGGTCAATATTCAGAGCAATATGTAAAACCCTTTAAAACCCTGTAGGTCAGTTTCAAGTAAAGGGATTTGAAGTTTTAAAGTAACCGTGTCACACAGAGTTGCTGCACTTGGGAGGGGGGTTGGTGTGCTGCTCTGCCGCCCGTCGACGTCTCGGGAACAACTCGTGAACACACACATGCTTGTTTCGTAGCTGTGGGGAGTGGGGACTATACAGGGTGGTTCAAAAAAAGGACACCCACTTTTGACAGCAATTTTCACCTACTTAATGAACTTATTTTAAATATTTTTTCACATTGTAGTAAAGTATAGGCCTTTAACCATGCATGGTGAAAAAAGCTTAGTAAAAGTCGCAACAATAGTGATATAATGCTAATTTGAATATAAGTCACCAAAATCAGTCTTGTCCACGGGTTATTCTTGTACATATGTAAATTGGACGTTTTCGTAGTTCATAAAAATTAATAAACCCTCTCACCAAAATATATTGTTGCATAACATTACATAACATAACAATCAAATGTCATGCCCTTTCAAAATAAAGCTCCGATAGCTGAGCTCAGTCAAGCGAAGGGAATGTATACCTCCGTGGACAAACAGGTTTCGCACATGAAATGTTCAAATTAGCATAGCTCAATGACAAAATGTGCAAATACAACGATTTTTTCGTCACATTTGCTTAAAAGCCAGTACTTTAATAACTTCTAATCGACAGTTTAAAAAAAAAATTTAAAAATAGGTGAAAATTGCTGTCAAATGTGGGTGTCCTTTTTTTTTTAAATTTAACCACCCCATGTACACACGTGTTGTCCCATGGTAGCAGTACATGAACAATGTACCATGTGGATGACCGAAGACGCTGTGGGGACAGCAGAAAGTCCCCATAATGAGGTCCTAATTTGCCTAACAATAAAAAACTTCCCCATAACACGGTGACGGCCCGCTGCCCACGCAGCTTTGTTTGTGGTGTAAATAGAGGATTTTGTATTGTTCCTCATCATCAATTTTTTGGGTTTTTTGCAACAGCTCCCATTGGTTTTGTACACGTTTTCTAATCGAGGTCGTCCTCGATTTGACTCCTGTCCTCAGTTACTCGATGATGCTTCACATGCGTGTCCTCACACACACCAGATAACTATGTACACGCATACACACACCATAGAGCAAGGAACAATGCACACACCTACACCTTTTCTTCTTTATATAGCGGTGATTATACAGTTGTACTTTGAATCAGTCGAGATCTGTTTGTAAAAAAGTGGCACTTTCACACTTAGGCCAAAAAAAAATAAGTTTCCGGTTTCTGGTATGCGCGCGCGTCGCCGTAGCCATGCGCGTCGGCAAAATGAAAAAGTTTTTTTTTCAATAAAAGATGATGTCTCAAAACTGCCAAACTCACTGGTTTGACTGGAATCCTGCTGCTGCACAATTTTAACGTGTTTTTAGATGGGGTTATGATCGAGAATAAGCGTTATGTGGCCTATCTGGACTCCCATATATTTTCAGTAAGTTTAGTCGGGCACCAATTGCAGTCCTCAGCCGACATTTGAAGCAAAAAAAACAGGTTAAAAAAAAAAAAGCCGCGTCACCGCACCACTTTTTGGGCAAGCGCCATACCAGAAACCGGAGACTTTTTTTTTTTGGCCTTATGCAATTGATGCATACATACATGTACATGTACAATCAAATGAATTACATCTAACTCAGTGAGATAAACTACATTGTACATGTATGTACATGTATATACATGTACATGTACATTCTGAAATTGATCTGTTGAAATATTGTTTGCCTTAAGTTGTACACACACAATGCACACAACAACATTATCTAGAGACTCTACTACAAAACTACATGTTCATGTTCCTGCACAAACTCATCAAAAAAACATATAGTCTGTGGTGTGAGATGTTATAACTCAAGTTACAACTGCATGCCACCAGTAGCAAACAACTCACCAAAAACTCTAGCAGAATGAGCTAACACATTCTGCATGTAGTCATGGTCAAACTTTGATTTGCCCTTTGTGCACTGTACAGGTGCACTGACATCTAGGAGTACTGTTGACCATGGGACTATGGAACTATGGAGTCACATGCACATGTAGGCCTATTTTCAGTGCCCACACAGTTGCATCATGTGTTAACCCAATACCGTAGAGCATACAGCAAGGATGCCTGTGTGCCTTTGAATTCAATATATCTGAGTCCTGCAGGCATCAAGCTACATGTACTGGTAGGACCTATAGAGTTTAGCTCTATTGTCTGTGACTGTGCATGTGAGCATGGAGCTTAAGTGGTCCACACAATGTGTGCATGTGAATATGGCTTTGAATGCAGCAACTGGAGTGCAGTGACTGCCACCTAAGCAAAACACTGTTGACTATTAATGACCTCTTCATTTAAAGGGAAAATACAACATTTGCAAACATCCAAAAATAAAGTTACCAAATTATTTTGAAATACTTTGCTAAACTGTTTATAGTGAATGACTGTCTAAAGCATCCTGTAAAATCATGGCACCTGGTATACTGTCGTTTTCAAGAAAAGTGGTATTTTCGTATCAATTTCCAACGCTGGTCGGCCGACCAGTGTTGGAAAAAACTGCCTTTTTTTTTTTTTTTAAATACTGGCCCCAGTTGACCATATTTTAGTAAGTCCGGTTTTGTTTGCAATCGATTACACACCTTTGAACGGGTACAAGCAAGCAAGACTGGTTCCCTGACCTTACAATTAATTCCCCAACTTCTATACATTGTTCCGTTTCATTTTAAATGGAGTCAGGGAACCAGACTACCGGTGCTCTACCAACTGCTATCCAGCCCTATGCGTTTAGGGTTCCACACTACATTTTGGAGTCACTTTTCCCCTGTCCCCGGTGTTACATCTGACATTATGATTTTTATAATTTTGGATGCATCCCTTAATGCAGTCATCCTCCAAGAGTGATAAGGAATAGCAAACTACCTACCCAACAAATACAAACAATCGTTTGAAGTCATTCTTAATGATACTTGAATGGCACATTACTAAGTACCAAGGTAGCAGGGAAATGGCACACTTTGGACCCTGAATTTACAAAATGACCCATATGCCATGTACGGTAGCGAGGGATCATGCCCAAAGTCACTATTAAATTAATTAGCAATGCTGCAAACCTGGGAAATAGCAAAAAGGGATCACTCAGAGAAAGTTGATTTTATAATTCATGTTATGGTATTATGTGGAGTGCTGTGGCCTCGTGGTTAAGGGCACTGGATTCGTGGTCTGTGGGTAAGGCTGGGGGTTGTGGGTTGGAGTCCAGCCAAGGTCATGGTGCGTGTGCCCTTGGGCAAGGCGCTTTGTCACTCATTGCTTCTCTCCACCCAGGAGTAAATGGGTACCTGTGAGGGCAGAGATGTTGTGATTGAATAAGCTTGCTTGCGCCTAACAGGCAACATCCAGCTGTATACTCCCCAGGGAGCTGAGATGTTACTTGGAATGTTTAATTGGCCCAGTGATCAGGGGTAATAATAATAATACTGTAAGCGCTGTGATTTAGTTTACTAATAAGAGCGTTCTTAAATGCCGATTAGTATTATTATTATTATATTATTATGTTTCCTTAAAGCTATAGTCCATCATTTGTAGCCATCCGAAAAGTAACTGGCGTAATTATTGTTGAAAAACAAACTTGGTTGAAAGATAGTAAGGGGACTAAACTCCCTGTGAAGTTATTCTTTCTGGGAAGCTGTCATTTTGAAGTAATCAACGAAAGAAGGCCTTTCCAACGGTGATTCTTAAGAAGCACTGTAGGAACATTTAAATTAGTAGTTCGTTTTGTTATTCAGCGCAGCGCACACAAGTATTGGAACGACGCACACGCGCGCGCGGTTGTTGTAATTCGTCGGATCAGTGCGCGACGTCGCGTATAGCTGCAATTCAAAACAATTCAAAACATGATTCAGTAAATTTTGATTTGAAATTGAGATCTAAGAATGTTGTTTTTCTCGGAATGTACAGCTGAAGCTTAGCTGAAACTTATCAGGTTAGTTACTCAGTATCCTTCATTAGATTTTGAACTCTCTTGTTGCTTCAAACGAACAAAATGCACAAATTACAAATGATGGACTGTAGCTTTAATCTGTAAATGCTTCACAATATCATCCAACTGTCTCATCCTTAAATTCTCCCGGCAGCAAATCCAGCAGCTTCCGTGGGAGACCACGCCCGCTCTTAGGGACACGCCCATCTGTCGGATGCCCAGCCTGTACTTCATCCTGTCCCATCTCAGGTCCCGTGGCTCCTCCAACCCCGCCTCTGACCCCAGTCCCGCCCTGGACCCCTCCGATACCTTCTATGTCCTGAATCCGTCCAACGACCTCGCCAACACGCAGAAGACCTTCCAAAAGTGGTTTGAAAAGTAAGTGTTTTTTTTTTTTCATAAACACTTTTTTTCTGGTAAGAAATGTTTGTGCCTAGCAGCTGCATAAACTTGGCCCCATGGGCCACAATAACTTGAATACCTGAATCTCTGAACTAACTAGGAAATTGTTTGCACTTTTTGTCACCTTTCTGCATTTGTGCATCTTGCTCCGTGACTTCTTTGACATCTTCACCATTTTTTTACAAATTTGTGAACAGAAACAACTCTTATCATGGTAGACCAGTTTCTTCCCATGCACTCTCTCACTAATAATACGGCAGATAGGTGGTGGGATTGTGCCTTTGATGATACAAGTATGGAATTTGGCACACAGTCAAAGTATGTTATGAGAAAGATATTTGGCTATAGGGCCATCGCAGATTTGTCCTTTGAAAATATATTTAAAAGGCCATTTTGAACATTGTGAAAATTGCTTGTTATTCTACCTATTTGTTCAAAGGACATATCTGCGATGGCCCTATAGCCAAATGTCTTTCTTAGGCCATACTCTGACTGTGTGCCAAATGCCATGCTTGTATCGTCAAAGGCACAATTCTCAAAGATATTTCCTCTATCTGCCACACTATAAGGGAATTTTATGCCTGCTTTCCTGTAACAATAGCACTAACAGTCCTGAATCCTCCAATTTTAATACGATTTTGCATACCCCCTAGGGAGTTAAGGTTAACATCTCTCAAATACAGATTCATAGCCATCCTTCTACTTTGTAAATTCTTTCTTTTTGTCTGAGCGCTGCCCCCCCCCCCCCAATGTATTAACAGGTAGTAAATGTGCTAAAACAGGAGCAAAACTTCACTTCTTCCCTCACAGATTTTTCGCCCTTTCTCAGATGACTAAGCCCTTCTAGATTCTTCACAGTCTCACTCTGAAACTCATTTGACTTGTTCATTTTTTTTTTGTATATCTGCCAGGGAGAATGGCTGGAAGGGGGTTGTCGCTAGACCTCCCACCAAGGAGGAGTACAGATCAGCTCTGACGGACCACCAGCTCTTTGTGTGAGTAACTCTGCCCATGACCACACTGGTACTTGGATGAACAAAGAAAGTGAAAGTAGCAGGCTTCGCCCTGTGGAGTGGAACATTCCATCTGTCACCTCATGAAATTATTCTTACCATTGCAGTCATAAACATTCATTATTTGTATACTGTAACAGCTTATATGTCAGTATACTTTTTTACTTGTAAGAAAAAAACGAGACTAAATCGATGGAAGTATCTGCTTCGAACGTTGGATTCAAATCCGCTTTAATGATTCTGGCAACGTGACAGTTAAAGCTATAGTCCATCATTTGTAATTAGTGCATTCTGTTCGTTTGAAGCAACAAAAGTGTTCAAAATCTAATGAAGGATACTGAACAACTTACTTGATGAAGTTTCAGCTCAGCTTCAGCTTCATATTCCGAGAAAAACAGCATTCTAGGATCTCAATTTTAAATCAAAAGTTGCTAAATCATGTTTCGAATTGTTTTGAATTGCAGCTTTACGCGATGTTGCGCACTGATACAACGAATTATAGCAACCGCGCGCGCCTGTGCGTCGTTCCAATGCTTGTGCGCGCTGCGCCGAATAACAAAACGAACAACTGATTTAAATTTTCCTACGGTGCTTCTTAAGAAGCACCGTTGGAAATGCCTTCTTTCGTTGATTTCTTCAAAATGAGAGTTTGCCAGAAAGGATAATTTCACAGGGAGTTTAGTCCCCTTACTATCTTTCAACCAGTATGTTTTTCAACAATAATTACGCCGGTTACTTTTTTTGATAGCTGCAAATGATGGACTCGGGCTTTAAGTGGTTATGAGAAGGACATGGGTTCAAATCCCACCCAAGACCCCCCCCCCCCCCATCAAATGCAAATTCCATCAAAAATCACTCAGATGTATGTCTAACCTACAGCTTTTGCGGTCACGGCAACGGACGAGAGTTCCTGACAGGGGACGACATCCAACGACTGACCTGCCGTGCTACAAGCCTTCTGATTGGCTGTAGCAGTGGCCGGCTCCACGCCACCGGTAACCAGGAAGCCAGCGGCATGGTGCTGAACTACCTAGTGGCTGAATGGTAATATCAAAAGCTTTCAATATTCCCATTGGTTTAATGCGCTTTCATAAATACCTTTACGCATTCCTATTGGTCAAGAGCCCGTCTTTGGCCGGTCTTAAACAGATGATAAAGACATGGCTAGCTGGTCTTAAACACTTTTCCAGTGTCACTTGAAATTTGAACTCCCATGAAATCCGGTACCTTTTAACGTTTCATTGGTTGAACATTCACATTCCTCACGGCTTCGCCTCGGGTAATTATCACCCCTCCAGACTCCCACCAGTCTTAAACAGAGTGTTATAATACCTCCCAAACACTCGTTCATTCCCTTAGTAATAGTACCAACTTTTAGTTCTAAACAGAAGAGAATACTGAACTGGATTTTGTTTTACTGTTTCAAGTAAGCATTTTATATTGTTTTTTTACAAAAAAAAGGATCTTTTTTAGAATCAGTGGAAAGTGACGATCAAATTTAACCTTCTCCAAATAAAATGCATTTGATGTGGACATAATATCTGGCTTCAGAATGTGGACTGTTTTTACAAATTCTGCTGTATTTGTTTTTACTTTTCAAAGATAAGGTTGGTATTTGGATTTTGGTCTTTGAAAGCTATTTTTGGTTTGTGAGTGTCCAGTGGCAAATTCAGGCTTTCAAGTATTCCTATTTGTTTCGTAGGTTTTTTTTTTTTTGCTCCTACTTTTCCTACTTTTTCCTACATGTATTTTTTCCTACTTTCTTGTCCCACAACTCCATAAAATGAAATCTCATTGAATATTTTTCATACACACTGTCATATGTAAATCACACAATGAAGGGCTTGGGTGCAGGAGTCCTGCAACTGTACTTCCAAGAGCTTAGTTGAGGATGGAGCACAAGTGTTATGAATACAGAACATGCCAAATGAGGCTTATGATGCTGTGGACATGGGTGAGTATCATTGAAAACTACTCCAGAAATGCCCACAAAAGCCCTACTTCTATCTTGATTTTGTCCTCCAAAGTCCTACTTTTGTCCTGTATTTTGGGGGTTTTTTTGGTTGAAAATGTTGATCCTGCTGTTCTTCTACTTGTTCTCCTGGGTCTGCTGGAAAGCCTGCAAATTGATTCGTACATCACTCCCATTTTACTCTTTCTTCTTTCCGCCAGCCCGTGTCTGGTGGCCAACCTGTGGGACGTGACCGACCGCGACATTGACCGCTTCCTGGAGCAGCTCCTAAGAGCCTGGCTGGACGGGGGAGGGAGTCTTCTGGACGGCATGGCGGAGGCCAGGCAGGCCTGCAAGCTGCAGCACCTCATTGGGTGCTCCCCGGTTGTGTACGGCCTCCCTGTGCGCCTGTGGGATAACTGCCGGTGACGTTTCAAATCATTGGTTCTCACATATACATGTACACAGATGTGTATGACTTTCTTTGGATGGGATAATGATGAAAACCTTGTGAAGGGAAAGCCGTGTCCAAGAGGGAACTTAGAGGCTATGGCTCTGCATTGTTACCATTGTTAAGGTATGGTGAACAGCCGTAGCTGTAGACAATACCGTTTCATAAACTGCCCTTTAAATTTATGGTTATTTATGGTAATTTATGGTAATTTATGGTAATTTATGGTAATAAATTTTAAATTCAGTATTCACTTGTTTGGGTTCCAAAAGTAAAATTGTTTCTTATTTGTAGCAGAGGAATTTTAACCACAGTGAAATACTTGGGTTTTGTCCTTTGTCAGATTTTGAGTACATTAGTGTTTTTTAAGGCCTTTAGTTTCATAAATGGAATAATTAGAAATGATTACAACTGCAGTTACATGAATTAATAACGTATTTTTGTTCAGTCCGTTATTTTTTTGTTACCAAATTTCAAATAGTTTCAAAAAGATTATTTTTATTTTTTCCCCGAGTTCTCATATAAATTTTGTCAAGATGTCATGTAGTTCTGTATCGACCAAACTAAATAAGAAGTCATTAGTCCCCTTGTCTTTAGGGGGACTACATATTACCCAATTTGATTTTAGTAAGTTGATTAGTGTGATCTCAAACTCTAATTAATGTGAAAAGCAATGAATTTATTTACTGTTTTCCAAATTAACATCTGTTTTTCATTGACATACATATAGTTTGATTTCTAAAACTTGATTTTTAACTGCTAGTGGGTCTCCTCTGATTTAAGGTGCAAAAAATATTGCTACCTGTAACAAGGGCGATCGTGAAGTGTAGGGCCCGGTTCCAGTATAAGGGAACAAAATCCACTTTAAAATTATTGGACCTACCAAACTAGTTGGCGACATTCTGAATAAACAGGTATGTCATAGATAGAGGGCAGGGTTTTGATTTTTTGAGGGAAATTTGGGGGTAAAATGACAATGACAGCGCGGCGACAACACGCGACCCGAAAATAAAGACGGCAATCCCCGCGCGATGTACCGTGAGCACGCACGGTGCGCTGAATCGCAAGGCACAAACCGCGCAGGAAAATCATGATTTCTACCCCAATAATTTGTTCAAAATTGCAAAACGGGTGTCATTAGAATTGAGAAAAGTCCGCTTTTGATTGTAATTTTTGAGCACTAAAAACCATTTTCGACTCTAATTTGATCAAAACAAAACGGGGGCCCTACACTTCACGATCGCCGTAACAAGTGTCAATTATAAAGTTTTTGTCAGATGTGGGGTTTTTTTTTTTCAGCTGCAGACGTTTTTCTTCTGAGCTTTGTACTGTTGAGGTTCATTAAGATTAATTTCAAAAAAAATCTTTTTTTGGGGGGGGGGGTTTTGGTGTTTTTATTTTGGTATTCCAACAGTTCTGGTTTGCTTTAGTTTTCATGAGAATGTTTTACGACAAATGTCTTTTAAATATAACAAACAGTGTTCAGAAAGTTGGTACTTTAAGAAATTTGCTGATGCCCATGGTAATAGATGCAAGATATAAGGACGTTATTATGACAAGGGGAGAAAGCACCCGTGAAAATTAATTCTGGCGTCATTGCGTCCCTGTATGTGTTTTGTAAATTTTGATGTAAATTTTGTTCATTTCAATTAATAAAAAAAAGAATACATAATTTAATTTGAACAAGCTCTTGGAAGTTTTTTTTTGGGTGTCTTCTGTAAGACAAAGATTGGAGAGATTTTGTGTTAAACTTTCAACACATTTGTAACACTGACAGTGACTTTGTTACTGTTAGTAATCCCTTACATTCTTGATTTTTCAGAAAAGGCTAAATTTTTCCCAATTTTGAAAAAAATGCAAGGATTTTTTTTAGAAAAAGTCAAATTTTGCCCAATTTTGATAAAAATGCAAGGCTAACCCCTTACATTCTATGATTTTTCAGAAAAAGTCAAATCTTGCCCTATTTTCATAACAAATGCAAGGCTAACCCCTTACATTTGTGATTTTCCATAAAAAGCAAAATTTTGCCAAATTTTGATAAAATGCAAGGCTAACCCCTTACATTCTTGATGTTTCAAAAAAAGTCAAATTTTTCCCAATTTAGATAAAAATGCAAGGCTAACCCCTTACATTTGTGATTTTCCATAAAAAGCCAAATTTTGATAAAAATGCAAGGCTAACCCCTTACATCCTATGATTTTTCAGAAAAAGTCAAATCTTGCCCTATTTTCATAACAAATGCAAGGCTAACCCCTTACATTCTTGATGTTTCAAAAAAAGTCAAATTTTTCCCAATTTAGATAAAAATGCAAGGCTAACCCCTTACATTCTTGATTTTTCAGAAAAAAAGTCAAATTTTGGCCAATTTTCATACAAATGCAAGGCTAACGCCTTACATTTGTGATTTTCCATAAAAAGCAAAATTTTGATAAAAATGCAAGGCTAACCCCTTACATTCTATGATTTTTCAGAAAAAGAGATATTTTGCCCAATTTTCATAAAAATGCAAGGCCAACCCCTTACATTTTTGGATTTTTTTAGAAAAAGTCAAATTTTGCCCAATTTTGATAAAAATGCAAGGCTAACCCCTTACATTCTATGATTTTTCAGAAAAAGTCAAATCTTGCCCTATTTTCATAACAAATGCAAGGCTAACCCCTTACATTTGTGATTTTCCATAAAAAGCAAAATTTTGCAAAATTTTGATAAAATGCAAGGCTAACCCCTTACATTCTTGATGTTTCAAAAAAAGTCAAATTTTTCCCAATTTAGATAAAAATGCAAGGCTAACCCCTTACATTTGTGATTTTCCATAAAAAGCCAAATTTTGATAAAAATGCAAGGCTAACCCCTTACATTCTATGATTTTTCAGAAAAAGTCAAATCTTGCCCTATTTTCATAACAAATGCAAGGCTAACCCCTTACATTCTTGATGTTTCAAAAAAAGTCAAATTTTTCCCAATTTAGATAAAAATGCAAGGCTAACCCCTTACATTCTTGATTTTTCAGAAAAAAAGTCAAATTTTGGCCAATTTTCATACAAATGCAAGGCTAACCCCTGACATTTTGAAATTTCCAGAAAAAGTCAAATTTTGTCAATTTGGATAAAAATGCAAGGCTAACCCCTTTCATTTGTGATTTTCCATAAAAAGCAAAATTTTGCCAAATTTTAATAAAATGCAAGGCTAACCCCTTACATTCTTGATGTTTCCAAAAAAGTCAAATTTTTCCCAATTTAGATAAAAATGCAAGGCTAACCCCTTACATTTGTGATTTTCCATAAAAAGCCAAATTTTGATAAAAATGCAAGGCTAACCCCTTACATCCTATGATTTTTCAGAAAAAGTCAAATCTTGCCCTATTTTCATAACAAATGCAAGGCTAACCCCTTACATTCTTGATGTTTCAAAAAAAGTCAAATTTTTCCCAATTTAGATAAAAATGCAAGGCTAACCCCTTACATTCTTGATTTTTCAGAAAAAAGGTCAAATTTTGGCCAATTTTCATACAAATGCAAGGCTAACGCCTTACATTTGTGATTTTCCATAAAAAGCAAAATTTTGATAAAAATGCAAGGCTAACCCCTTACATTCTATGATTTTTCAGAAAAAGAGATATTTTGCCCAATTTTCATAAAAATGCAAGGCTAACCCCTTACATTTTTGGATTTTTTTAGAAAAAGTCAAATTTTGCCCAATTTTGATAAAAATGCAAGGCTTACCCCTTACATTCTATGATTTTTCAGAAAAAGTCAAATCTTGCCCTATTTTCATAACAAATGCAAGGCTAACCCCTTACATTTGTGATTTTCCATAAAAAGCAAAATTTTGCCAAATTTTGATAAAATGCAAGGCTAACCCCTTACATTCTTGATGTTTCAAAAAAAGTCAAATTTTTCCCAATTTAGATAAAAATGCAAGGCTAACCCCTTACATTTGTGATTTTCCATAAAAAGCCAAATTTTGATAAAAATGCAAGGCTAACCCCTTACATTCTATGATTTTTCAGAAAAAGTCAAATCTTGCCCTATTTTCATAACAAATGCAAGGCTAACCCCTTACATTCTTGATGTTTCAAAAAAAGTCAAATTTTTCCCAATTTAGATAAAAATGCAAGGCTAACCCCTTACATTCTTGATTTTTCAGAAAAAAAGTCAAATTTTGGCCAATTTTCATACAAATGCAAGGCTAACCCCTGACATTTTGAAATTTCCAGAAAAAGTCAAATTTTGTCAATTTGGATAAAAATGCAAGGCTAACCCCTTTCATTTGTGATTTTCCATAAAAAGCAAAATTTTGCCAAATTTTAATAAAATGCAAGGCTAACCCCTTACATTCTTGATGTTTCCAAAAAAGTCAAATTTTTCCCAATTTAGATTAAAATGCAAGGCTAACCCCTTACATTTGTGATTTACCATAATAGCAAAATTTTGATAAAAATGCAAGGCTGACCCCTTACATTTTTGATTTTTCAGAAAAAGGTCCAATTTTTCCCAATTTGATAAAAATGCAAGGCTAACCCCTTACATTTGTGATTTTCCATATCAAGCGAAATTTTGATAAAAATGCAAGGCTAACCCCTAACATTCTTGATGTTTCTGAAAAAGAGATATTTTGCCCAATTTTCATAAAAATGCAAGGCTAACCCCTTACATTTTTGGATATTTGAGAAAAAGAGATATTTTGCCAAATTTTGATAAAAATGCAAGGCTAACTCCTTACATTTGTGATTTTCCCTAAAAAGCAAAATTTTACCAAATTTTGATCAAAATGCAAGGCTAACGCCTGACATTTTTAAATTTCCAGAGAAAGTCAAATATTGTCCAATTTTGATAAAAATGCAAGGCTAACCCCTTACATTTGTGATTTTCCATAAAAAGCCAAATTATGTCAAATTTTGATAAACTGCAAGGCTAACCCCTTACATTCTTGATGTTTCCAAAAAAGTCAAATTGTTCCCAATATAGATAAAAATGCAAGGCTAACCTCTTACATTCTTGATTTTTCAGAAAAAGTCAAATTTTGGCCAATTTTCATACAAATGCAGGGCTAACCCCTGACATTTTGAAATTTCCAGAAAAAAAAACAAATTTTGTCAATTTGGATAAAAATGCAAGGCTAACCCCTTACATTTGTGATTTTCCATAAAAAGCCAAATTTTGCCCAATTTTGATAAAAATGCAAGGCTAACCCCTGACATTTTGAAATTTCCCGAAAAAGTCAAATTTTGTCAATTTTGATCAAAATGCAAGGCTAACCCCTTACATTTGTGATTTTCCATAAAAAGCCAAATTTTGATAAAAATGCAAGGCTAACCCCTTACATTTTTGATTTTTCAGAAAAAGAGATATTTTGCCCAATTTTCATAAAAATGCAAGGCTAACCCCTTACATTTTGATTTTTCAGAAAAAGTCAAATTTTTCCCAATTTTGATAAAAATGCAAGGCTAACCCCTTACATTTGTGATTTGTTGTAGAAAAAGTCAAATTTTGCCCAATTTTCATAAAAATGCAAGGCTAACCCCTTACATTGTTTGATTTTTCAGAAAAAGAGTTATTTTCCAAATTTTGATAAAAATGCAAGGCTAACCCCTGACATTTTGAAATTTTCAGAAAAGTCAAATTTTGCACAATTTTGATACAAATGTAAGGCTAACCCCTTACATTCTTAATTTTCAGAAAAAGAGATATTTTGCCCAATTTTCATAAAAATCCAAGGCTAACCCCTTACATTTTGTGATTTTTTAGAAAAAGTCAAATCTTGCCTAATTTTGATAAAAATGCAAGGCTAACCCCCTTACATTTTTGGAGTTTCCATAAAAAGCAAAATTTTGCCAAATTTTGCAAGGCTAACCCCTTACTTTCTTGAAGTTTCCAAAAAAAGTCAAATTTTTCCCAATTTTGAGAAAAATGCAAGGCTAAACCATTACATTTTTGTTTCAGAAAAAGTAAAATTTTGCCCAATTTTGATAAAAATGTAAGGCTTACCCCTTACATTTTTAATTTTTTTTCAGAAAAAGTCAAATATTGTCAAATTTTGATAAAAATGCAAGGCTTACCCCTTACATTCTTGATTTTTTTTTAAAAAGCCAAATTTTGCCCATTTTTGATAAAAATGCAAGGCTAACCCCTTACATTTTTTGATTTTTCAGAAAAAGTCAAATCTTGCCCAATTTTGATAAGCACATTGAATTTCACAGTAATATCTTGACATTGCATCGATCTTTTCTTCAGTAAGTTCGTTGGTCATCACTCGGCTTTAAAACAAATAATGCACTCCTAAATCTCTATCATTACATCTTCTTAAAACAATACAAACACAAAACAAAAAGTTTTTACAACATTGCTTTTTTTTTTTTATTGAATTATGGTAATACACAAGGCAGGGGGCTACAATGCTTCTACACTTGCTAACAAATCACATGACTATAAAGTACCATAAAAAAATAATTACACTGACGCCACAATTCAGCTATTTGTGGATAGTTCCAATGTATTATTGCCCTACACAGTTTTGGCTGTTCTTTTAAAAAATATTTCAAAATGTCAACTACAACATTAGGTAGTTTTTTATCACTTAAATTCTTTCCCCTTTTAAACTGAAAGCTCATTTGGAAGTTGGCAATGATATCAAGTTCTTGCCACAAGTTTTACGTTTTTAGTAAAATAACATTTAAATGGCAGACAAGAATGGTTTGACCGATTAACCCATTTTGCCTTCACTGATGTATTTTATATAAGCACTGTATATAAGTTGGTGCTGCCCGGGGGCTTGTGGGGGGAAAAGTCACAAGCTAACTCAGGTAGGACTCGAACCCACAACCTCCTGCTTACTAGTGCAGGCATCTTACACCACTCAAGCAAGCTTGACTAGCTCTCGAACAACATCACGTATACTGTGCTTATATAAAACTTTGTTAGTGAAAGGCAGTCCAAATATTAAAACTTTTACGTTTCCTGATTCAAAATTCCATTGTAAACACTTGTTTTGTTCATTTTCTCTAAATACAACCACATAACCTATTTAGTCAGTTATATTTGACAAATGACATCTTAGGGGGACACTTTTTAGTAAATTATTTTCACATTAGGGAGACACTTGGCATTAGGGGCCATTCGAGTGTCTCCCTAAAGTTTTAAGTACCAATTCTAGAACAAATTTTATTGTCGCAAGTTGCTGAAAATGATTTGTTAGTTCAAAAATAGTAAAATTATAAAGTTTAAGGAGGGGGCATATTTACAAATGGGATATGGGAAGGTTTTGGTTTGTGCACAAGTCTATGGAAATGTCTCCCTGTCGCACCAATTTTTCAGTAATTATTAAAATGTACAATAATAACCGGTACTTATAAACAAAACTTCAAGGTCGATAGCTAATCTGAACCCCCTCCCTCAAAAACATTTACTTGTAATTAACTTCTTCTTTTTTAGCTGAAATAGTCGTTTTCTAGTAACTTCACAAAAAAATACTCAAAATTTGTACAAGTTTTTATTTTAGAAAATCCTGATCCCTGTTTTTTTTTTTTTTTTTTTAACTATATGGTTATCTTTTGTTCCTGAAACAAGATTATATTAACATTATTTGTATTAATATTCAAATTAGTTGATTAGTACGGCAGAGTTTCAAATCAAGTTTAAACTTTACTTCATTCTAACAAACTTATCAAGGACTACCTACACTCAACTACACATCTATTGAATGTCTACACTTGTTTATACTACAAATCACGGAAAAAATCTAATTCGTACTTCGTTGATTTGTACAACAATCACACAAAAATAAATAAGCTGCTGGGAGCACCAATTCGGGAATGACCAAAAACCTTTACAAACACTCAAGCAAACCTCATTTACATGGAAGCATTCATTTGTTCGGGGTGCAAGCCTACAGTCTATACAGAAACACAAACAATGATGGATCAGTGAGGTAACATCACGAAGCTGGATCATTCTGTACAGTTGCGGTCCATTTTCCCGTCATTAATCATTATTTAAAGGGAATGTACAACATTTGCTTTTGCTGCAATTTTCAGAAATAAATGGATTTGGAGGATTAGTGTGTTATAGCAAATATTGTGAACATGACTTGTTTCACGATTTGGGCTTGTAGATGCTGGAAAAACCAAGAAAACCAATCATGTTCTTGTAGTCTGGTTCCCTGACCCCACTTAAGATGAAACAGCAATTTATAGACTTTTGGGTATTGTAAGGTAGGAGAATCAGTCTAGAAGGCTTGTACCCCTTCACAGGTGTGTAATCAATTGCAAAGAAAACGCGGAATAACTAATTACCAAAAAATTGGGAGCACATTTTGAAAAAAGCAAGTTTTCTCCAACGCTGGTCGGCCGACCAGCGTTGGAAAAATCCTCTTTTTCTTGAAAATGACAGCACACAAGGATCCACGATTTTACAGAATGCTTTAGACTGTCATTCTCTAACAATCCTGTAAGGTATTTCGTGATAATTTGATCATTTCGTTTTGTGATGTTTGCAAATGTTGTATCTTCCCTTTAAAGGTGGAGTTGACCATTTGCAGCTATCCAAAAAAGTAACCGACCAAATTATTGTTGAAAAGCTTACTCGGTTTAAAGATAAGTAATGACACTAAACTCCCTGTGAAATTATTCCTTCTGGCATGCTGTCATTTTGAGGAAAACACTAAAAGAAGGCCGGTTCCACAGATGTGTCAAGCGACACATTTTTGGAAATTTTCATTAGAAGTTGGTTTATAATTGGGCGAATCCGTGAATGGGTGCACGCAAGCGGTTGCTAATATTCGTCGGTACAGCGAGTGATATCGTTTAGCTGCAATCAGCGGAGGGAGAACGTGTCCCCCAAAAGTGGACCCCAAATTTAGGGAATGACCCAACTAGAGGCTGTAAACACTGACAACAGCTGTTTACTGTTTACAAAACATTGTTTACGAAAACATTCAAATACACAGCTGCGAAAGTCTAGAAGATTAGAGTGTTGTATATTATATCATTTGTATATATCGGAATTGTAATCCACACAAGTAGATGCACAAAAATATAATTTTACGAGCAAAAAACTAATTTTTTTCACAGTTCATTATTTTAAAATGCTGATTACAGCCGGCCAGCAAAATTACTACTCACTTAGTTCTGCCAAGGACCCATACAAAACTGCTTTACAATGTTGGCAATACTAGGACAATATGTCAAATTTCAACAAAACAAAAAAAAATAAAAAATTACCAGAAAACAGCCAGCCCAGCAGTACAATTTCTAACCATTTATATTGGCATTTTACAGTTCTGAGATTTTCAGAGAGACAAAAATTACCATTGCAACTAAAGCCAAAAAAACTTACGTTACTGATTGCAAATATAATTATTGCCTATACCAGCATAGCAAGGGGTCCACATATCAACTGCACACAATGACTTTCCTTACTACAAGGATAACACAGGTGAAGAAAACACGACTAAATAGTATCATTTTAGTGACAAATACAAACTTTTCTTACAAGCAAACTCACATAATGCAAGACAGTGGAAATACAAAAATACAACTTTTAACAGTATGGAGTTTACATCAGCATTTCTGTCCTCTCCTTCCCCCCCCCCCCCCAATTAAATATCCAAGGAATATTAAATTTGTTGTTGCGAAAACCCGGTTTTTAACTATTTTTCTCCTTCAGTGCCTATGTAAATTGATACATACACGCAAATTATAATTCATCAAATCTAAATGTTGAAGTGAAAAATACTTTCAAGTATTCAAATTATTTTTTCTTATCTATGACATTTTGACAGCTGATTTTGCCTGTCAATTTTAAAACAAGACGGATGCCTTGTGGTTGACATGTATTTTACTTGTTATAAGTAACACTTTAATAATAATTCTGTTTTAAGTTTTAACCTCCTTTTATCAATGATAATTGTCCAATGATACCAATTTTTCATTTTTTTGTCAAGGCCAACTTGTAAATCAAAGGAGTTCATGTTAAAATCAAGTTAAATTGACTACGTGCTAATTACTACCCAAACTGGACTACGAGAACTTAAATGCAAAATTATAAAATACTTATCTTACATGACAGTCAGGAAGCACACCAATTTACATGTATTCACAAAAATCGCGATTAAAATATCAAATTTAATAAAAAAAAAAAAAAATTAGTTTAATAGACTTACGTGGTAATCACGCCCAATTCTAAGAGTAGCACTTTTTGCATGACACTTATGTAATGCGCAAAAGCAACACGTATCACAAGACGACAGTACAAAAAAAACCCACTGTTGTCACACCAAAACTATTCACCAAATCTTTGACTCCAATCATCCACCAATGAAGCGATGCACTCCGTGTCAAATGATTACAAGCCGACCAATCAGCCAACCTATTAGCCTTGAGTAATATAAACCTGGGGTGAACGACAGAAACGACGCAAACAACGGAAACATTGCCTATTTCCCGTTGGCTATGCACAAAAATACCGCAAACGCTGGTTTGAGTGGAACACATCCCAGTATTTAGAGAAAAGATATTGAAATGACTGCACATATTGTTTGCTGCTAGTTAGTCATTAACCCATTAGCACACTGTATTACATTGTATTACATTGTATTACATTATGTCTATGCACTGCAAAATCCATAAAACCATAATAGAGTGCTGGGGTAGTTTTATGCGCTCTGAAAAATTATGGCTCTGAAGGATTTTTAAGGAAGTAAAGTCCGAGAACCATTTTCATTTGACAACTTATGCATGCGCACAACGGACAACTTCCGTCAAAATAGCAACGACGAAAGAAGAACCCTTTAATACGAAGAGAACTAGATTTGACAGTGCTGCTAAGTACACAACTATGCTGAGAGCACAGTAAAGTGCCTGCCCAACGACAAACAGTTTGCAGCAAAAAATGTCATGCAATGTGCCTTGCAAGAAGCATCTATCTGTGGTTTTAATTTAAGACCCAACTCCACTGAACACAGCCACTTGTTACAGCCACTGCAACTTTGATGTACTTCAACTCTCAGAAATTTACCAGGCAGTACCATTCCAGATTTACTTAATTTATTATTATTTTTTTGTTGTCCTAGTATCTTTTTATTAATATAAATACATTTTTTTTCTGACAAACCACAGAACTTATGCACACTTTTAAACTCTAGTAGCATATCTAAAGAATATCCTTCACTTATACGAGCTGGATATTCTACAGTTGTAACAGTTTTGGCGGACCGTGGACAATTATTTACAAAAAAAACAACTTCTCTGGACACCACAGAGAATCCTTGAAATCCTGTCGAGTTCTCTGCAGAACGTTTCCAACAAAATTTTGGTTTTCTCTGGTCTGCAGATATTATGGGATTTCATGTAAATTCTTCAGACTAAGGCGATCCGTTTCAATGCACGCCTTTCCAAAAATTCTGCACTGACTACATTACGCAGAGTTGCTCAAATTGAAAGCTAAAAAAAAAAAAATTTGCAGAAATTTGAAGAGAAAAATTGGCCTTGGGCAATTCCAGATCAGAATTGAGCAGCATCGATTCTAAAGTTGGAATTGGAATCGAGACTCCACTTTTTTGACGGAAGATTCGAATCGCGGAAGTAACTATTAAATTCTCCCACGAATAGCGTCCAGACACTTCAGAAAAACATTAAATGTCACTCGACATGTCCATAGTTGTGGCAAATTATCATTTGAATAAGATGTAACTCCTTTCAATGCCACTGTATAGTGATTCAGTACTGTCATTCGTTGTGGAGGTCTTTCCCCACAGCATTTTTTACAATGGATAGAATTGAATTGGTGTCTCTTGTATGGAATCGGAATTGACATGAAATATTTTGGAAATCGCCCAAGCCTAGCCTTGCCATTTCATGGCGATGTTGAGCAGAATAAACAAAAAAAAATTAGTCAAGTGGCAGGCAATATTTACAACGCGTCTCAATTTGGCAAAAGCAAAAACTTTCTCAATTCTGTGCTTGACTGCTCCTGTGCACAAATGTCGGACATGCGTGCACATACTCAAGACGCGCATGGCTGGAGCGTGCAATGTGGTATTGTAAAGGTGCACGCTTGTTGTCCACGTGTGCACTGAATGGGCGGGGCCTTATCAGCTAGTCTATTTACAAGGGGGTTACTAAGCAACCGATCGACCTTTCTTATCTCTTTGGTTACTACAGCAGTGTCGGGTCCATCATGTCAAACGTGTCGAAGTCCTTGAGGAGGTCGCTGATGTCTGGAGCAAGCTGCGGCTCGTCCCGGTCACGATCGTTCAGCATCTCGCCAAAATCGTCCATTCTTTTAAGAAAGAGAAAAGAAAAAGCTAACCAATACACTGCAGGAGAGGTTTGGCATTACAATGGTGTTAGCTTTTGTTGACTGTCTATCGTGCAAAACTAACGACTTAGAACAATTTTAACCCTTACCTACCAGATGCAACACAGTGCCAAAAAAGTCTGTGGGACCTTGCCGCATTTGATCAACAATGCATAAAGTGCATAAACGGCCAATTCTGAGACAATGGGAGCAAGTCTCACTGGACAAAAATACCAGAGTTGTAGCCTGCTGCAGTTGGTGACCACAGACTCTGAGGCAGTTTAGCCTTGGGCTTTTTGACCTGATGGATCTTGCTACACTGTGCAAGTTTCTCCTTGTGACAAATTTTAAATGTTGTTGCATTTAGCAGGATTTCTAGCCAAAGATAAATGTACTTTTGGGGGTTAGGGTGAACATAATGGTTGTCATCTTGGTTGGATGTGGTTAAGCAAAGTGCATTCACTTGGACAATTTTTTGCATTGACCCTTTTGTACCACACTCCTACGGCAATAATCTGTGAATTCCTACACTCTTTTTTGGGGGTACACCTTCCGCACTGCCCAGTCTATCCAAGCGCAAGGCCCAGTGAAGTGGCCCAGTCGGGCACGTTCTAGACGCCGTGCTACTGCCGCGCCAAACTTAGCTGAAATGAGTGCGGCAATAACTTGTCTACAGCACGGCAGTTGCTCTAAATGCCAAACTTTAGTCCAACCTTAATCCATCTGGAGTAACAGGCCTTTGGTTAAAGCAGTTCAATGAACAATGATCAAGCCATTCGCGCCCATTTCACTTCCCGTGTTGCGGACGCCAGAGAGGGTATTGTCAGCATGCCTATTCCTGAAATGTCTGCCCCTACTTAGAATTGAATTAAGTTCGGCAATGGTACGGCATTTAGAACAGTGCCATGCCACTGCAGTTTGGAACGACGATAGCGCGGCAGCCCTGTTGCCATAAAGGGCATTGCCATGCTTAACTCAATTTGTCAAGCCAAATGGTTCTAAAGCCGCACTATTGCCTTGTCGAATCAAGAAAAGTCATATTAATTGAGTCTGGCACGGCAGCAGCACGACGTCTAGAACGGGCCTTAGTCACAAGTCCAGTCGCGAGTCTGGTCACGAGTAACAGGGGGAAAATATGAACATAGGGATGCCTTTGTCACACTTAATTTGAATACCTTGTGACTTGACTGCAATCATTCCTTTGTATTTGTGTAGTTAAAGGGAAAATACAACATTTGCAAACATCAAAAAATAAATCTACCAAATCATTTTGAAATACCTTGCTGGACTGTTAGTGAATGACAGTGTAAAGCATCCTGTAAAATCATGGCACCTGGTATACTGTCATTTTCAAGAAAAGTGGTATTTTTGTATCAATTTCCAACGCTGATCGGCCGATCAGCGTTGGAAACAACTGGCTTTTTTTTTCAAATACTGGCCCCAATTGACCATCGCACTTGTTTGCAATCGATTACAAACTTATGAACGGGTACGAGCCAGCTAGACTGGTTCCCTGACCTTACAATTCCCCAATGTATGTAAACTGCTCTGTTTTTTTCTTATATGGAGTCAGGGAACCAGACTACAGGAAAATGATAGTTTTTCTTGGTTTTTATAGCATTTTCGAACCCAAAACCTCAAAAAAGTCAGTGTAACTATATTTGCTTTATCTTTCCAACCCCCCAATTCCATCCATTTCTGAAAATTACAGCAAAAGCAAATGATGTATATTCCCTTTAAGAAAAACTGGTGAAACAAACTCATTTTACTTGCACTGTGAACACTTTTTCAACCCAATTTTTTACCATGATTCCCTTGAGTATTCCTCTTCATTTTGTGACGGATAAACCTAACCCCAAAATGCCGCTAAACCTGTTTTCCAGAGAGGGGAAAACCTCGTGCGGACGTGTGCAAGTCCACAAAGGGTTCACGCGTCCTACACCCTGTGGACCTCTTTTGTTCGCAGGTCCACAAAGAGTCTGCAAGGTTAGAGCACTCATACGGAATAACATTGGCCGTGAGTACTCTGTTCTGTACACACGCCCGAACCAGTTCTGGTTTGTTTATGCTGTAAATCGAGGACACACATGTGAAACATCCTTATACATTTGAGGACAGGAGTCAAATCGAGGACGTCCTCGGTTAGATAATGTGTACGAAACCAATGGGAGCTGTTGCAAAAAAGTTATGCACAAAAGATCGATGACGATGAACAATGGAAAATCTTTAATTTACACCATAAACAAATGTGTATGGGCGTACATACATACACCCCACGGATCGACAGACAAAGGGAGAACAACAGATTCTTTGTTGACCTCGATCGTTCATCTTTTGTTGAAAACGGCGGTCCTCAATCGAGCGTTTACGTGCTTAGTCTATGGGAGAGTGTTATATAACAGGGACAAAGGAAAAGACAATGGCTTGTCCTCGAGAGTAAAATGTAAATTGTAAAACACAACTAAGCGCGCACGCTGTGTGTCCCTCCCACTGGGGGTCGCAAAAGAGGTCACAAAAGAGGTCACAAAGCGCCCTCAACGTTCAAGCACATAGTCTACAATAAAACAAAAATACCCCAATAGAAATGAATGAAAATCTACACAATTCTGCTTTTGTAAGAATTTAATGGGTTTTTGTTTTGTTCATATACAGGGCATGTGACAGTTACACAACACAGTGCACAAGCTAATCAACTTAAAACATCATAGCAGTTTTCCCTTATGTTTTTTTTTCTTTGACCAAAAAAAAAAACAAAAATGAAAACAAAAGCTCAATTCTAAATATGAAAAAAAAAATTGTTTTACAATGGAATGCTACATGATAAATGTTCACATCACTTGCTATATTTTAAGAACGATTAAACATTACAAATAAAAAAGGGCAATATTTTTTTTCGCGAAGAGAAGTATTTACAAAGTTTTTTTTTTAACTTCTGTTGGTTACATATGTATAAAGATGGCATCACACTAGTACAAGTACATTTGTTTTTTTTAGTCATTTACTACTAGTCTACACAGCAATTTTGTTGTAAAGAATCAATCACTTCGTCTCCTAGCACCATGATAGAGATCTCAGAACACTTTTCAAAGTATATATTTCACATTTACAGCCCCGCGCAAAAAGCCGAAAAGTTTGCAAGAACATTTGGAGTTTTCAGTGGAGTGTGCAGGAAAGTGATATTCTGTGTCTGTACTCTAGGGTTTACGCTCAGCTAAAAATGGCGAATACTTGTACATACTTCAGGGTGTCCCCCCCCCCAAAAAAAAAACGAACCCTCGACGCCCCCTTTAAAGAAAAATATCTCAACTATCAATACATATTCAGAGAGTATAGTTCATTAGGTATTCTACAACAAAAATGTTTTCCAATCGGGTAAATATTTATTGAGTTATGGCCTATGTAAAAAAAAACAGCTTTTCATTTTGTCCATGGTTTTAACCACTTCGCACTGGGATTATTTTTGCCAAAAATTCAGATTTTCGCAAATGGCAACATTTTCCAGCCAACTTCTGATATTCAGCCAAACGCCACAAATACTGATTCATTTCAAGAGTCATTTCAACAGTATTTGTACCATATGCCGTGCACAATGGCCAATTCAAGTCAAACACACGGTCCGCCTCCACACATTCACGGACTGTGTGTGTGTGTGTACAAAAGGCATGAGAGATGAGCGTGTTTGATGTAACCTGGAGGCAAGTCGAGGCAATCTTGACGTCTTAACCCATCAGCCGTGCTTGTATATATCACGTCCTCCGACGCAAACTGGTTAATTGAGATGTATTAGGAATGTAATGGATTTGGGGTGTGGGTAGTTTTGCTTCCTTTAATTTTTTTTATCTTTCTTACTTTATTTGGCTCTTTTTTTATTTTTCATTTTTTGCAACAATGGTCATTTCTCCTTTTGGAAGATATGCTAGTCCTGAAAAGGACTGTTTGGTTAACTTCTTAGATGTTTACTGTGTTGCTCTGCCCTCTACGTGGTAGCCTCTTTCACGGATGCAAGTTTCGGTCCGTGTTCTTATTACGGCAGTCAAAATATCAGCCGGCGTGGACGAAATGAAAAAGCGGTACTTGTTTTCAATTGGCCCTAACGCAATAAATATTTACCCGATTGCAAAGGATTTTTTTCATTGTTGAAAAGCTAATGAAGCATACTCTCTAAACATGTATCGATATTTGGGACGTATTTTCTTAAAATCTGTGAAAAAGAGGACGCTTTGAGGTTCTTTTTTTTTTGGGAGGGGACACCCTGTATATTGATGATTTTTGAAGACTCCACAATTTTGTGGAAACAGCAGAGCTGTTAGAAACTTAATTGATCTCAACATAAAGCAAAAACGTTTAAATTGTTTTTTTTTTCTAAATATTTCAATCAACTTAAAAGATCTTTTTGCTTTGGTTTGTACTGAATCCATCAAAACTGTTTTGTTTTAATGGATTTTTTTTAAAAGAGTCGCTGGTATTTACGTATGGCAAAAAGTTATTTATATTATCAATTGACAAAAAAAATGATCGTTTTGCGAAACAGTCTGCTTTACTTCTAGAACTAGAAGGCACTAGTTTCTAGTTTCCAGAAGTAAGTCTAGTTGTACTACATGTTGTACTACAACAGAACCGTTCACAATTTAAAGGCAAAAGGATCATCTGCAACCATTAAAAAAAAAAAGAACAACCAAATTATTACATGTACACTCGGTAATTGCGTAGATACAGGCCTCTCTTTTGTTTTAGTCCTTAAAGTGCTTTTATCATTCCAAAACGACTTCGGCAACTTTAAAGAGGTTATTTCATCCTAATGGTCAAAACTTTTTCCTTCTAATTTCAAATGACATCTTTCCGTAGAAAAAGTGATGCTTCATGGCATGGAGCAAGGTGATCACCATCTGCGCAATTCCAAGGTTACTCACGTTACATTTTCGTAACGTGAGTAACCGATTTTGTGCGTCTCGTTTATCATACAGAACACGTTTTTCTGGATG